CCAGCCTAGGCCATTCTATGGTTCTATGAACCCTACTTAATGCTTGCCCTGGAAAGAGGTCCCATTTACTGGCAGATGGGTACACCAAAAATAAAACATTTACAGGATCAGCATGTCATTGCAAACAGACCATTTTAACTAAATGGTTCTACCTCCTTAAGAGATATGCTATTATGATTTTTTCAGAGCACAGCCAGTTTCACGGTAACTCTGCAATAATGAAAGAAAATGCCATCAAGAACCAGATGGCAGGCATATATTCTGCTTCTCCTTATTTATGTCTGACCCAAGAGAGTGTGATCGAAAACACTATGTCGAAATGTGTGAGTCCGAGCTGCATGACACTGTTCACCCTCACCTTAATGCTATTCTCAAACTTTGCTGTAAATATTGAGCAATGAGAATAGACCAAGAAGAATGGCATAATTATGGAGTGTGATGGGATTAATTATTCTGAACTATGCAAATTGTAACAGGAAACACGGAAAGCTCATCCATCCTCAAGGAGCTTCCCTGCTGCTCAGTGATTCTCAAGTGAGAAGCATTATCAAATAACCCTGTGAACCATGAGATCCTGGGGGTCCTGCCAGCCAGGGAGAGAATTTCTCTTATGCCTCACTGAACTTTTCTGTTCGATTACCCTAATAGTTTATAACTATAATATTACTAAAGTCACAGAATGACATTTTGACTTCATTACCATGAGCTGCAGAAGTCCCACAGCTTTCAGCACAACCAGACCTACCGCTATAGATTTTCAGGCCAGAAAAATGCCATTTTTTAATATTAATAGAATCATAGAATGGCTTAGGTTTGGAGAAGCCTTAACAATCAAATATATTGTTAGTCTATCAGATACATAGTTAGCATATATCACACAATATTGCTGACTAACTGTAGCAGTGCTGTTTTACTCAATATATGAATTTTCAGTCGTAATTTGGTGAGATGAAAAGGTTCTTGTACTTCAGTAAGTTTTACAGCTACATAAGGATATGCACAGCAACAATGGTGCCCAGAAAATTTATCTTCTCAGGCTTCATGTACGAAGCAACAACACGATGTTAAAGTTGTTTATGCGCTCTTTGTGTATGCATGTGTATGCTGTTTAAGTGTGCTTTGGCCTCAAGAAACCATCAGAGTATTCGTGCAGACAAACGCATCTACAGGAGCTAGATCTGAAAGGATGTCTAAAAGAACAATGAAGAAGTCAACCTTAAAGAGAAAGCCAGGTGGCACTGCAGAAGCTGCATCTTCTGCTGCAACAGGCTGATCTTGAGAAGGTGAAGTCTGGATATCTTCAGCGGGTTTCTGCTCACTTCCAGCTTGGGAAGTTTCACTGTGAGATATGTCAGTGTCCTGAGTGCCCATCTCTGTTGCAGCATCTTTGGACTCATTCATGATAACTTCATGTTCTTCTCCCTCCCCTTCATTGTTTGATGCTGGCTCTATTACTACTGAAGGGATGCTGCTGACCTTGTTGTGGGAAAAACAAACAAACAAACAAAACACAAAAGCAGCACAAGAGTACTTAATACTTCATTTCAAGCAGTAAAACACAATTATTTGTTTATTGCACACAGCATATGTGGGAATGGAGATTTCTTTCTTCTCCACAGTGGCTTCTTACATTAAGACAGAAAATAGCACTTGTGTAAGAATCTAAAGGTGTAATCTCTTTCCTGTTTTTATTGTTCCCCTTAGTCCTCCTCAGTCTACTTTCTATGTTACCACAAATTATTGCACTAAATCATAAAAATGCTCTGCAGATAGTTTGAGTTTAATTTTCTACGTGCATGGAAATTAACAGACCTTTCTTCTCCACTCTGCTCTTAACTTTGTATGCACCTCAGCAAAGCCACAAGTTACAGGGATTTGTCCTATATTTCTTCGGGAGTTCAAGTCAGCAGGATAATAGTGACATAAAGGTGATGAAAGAAGGAAATGTGACCTATTTTTTTGATTGATTGAGGGGATTTCTCCTGATTTACAGAAACATAACTGGGAGCAGAGAAAGCAAAGCCCTAAGTAGGCAGTATCTGACCAATAACAAAGCCTAGGACAAAAAGTTTTGATAAAACTTGTTGGAGCATCCAACCTGAAAAGAACATGTTCGCTGATCCTCTGCCAGGCCATCCTCATCCTATTCTGGTGCACACAAGAAATACATGGGCAATGACAAAAGGTGGCAACTGGCTGCTGAGCTCCGGGGTCTCCTCTAATAACTGTTGTCCAGCTCCTCAGGTTGCAGAAGAAAAGGCAGCCAGTCAGATGTAGGCACATAGTTTGACCATTGTGATTTACATAAAGTAATGCTATTGAGAGGGTATGGTGCCCAGAGACAAGAAAAATCCATTACTTTGCCAGTTTCTCCAGAAAGCCCTGTTATGTGATATAGCTCATCTCCACAGGAGAGCACAGAAGGGCAACATCATGAGGGAAGGCCCTGGGGTCTCTCCCTCATGTTGTTGCCCTCAGGCCCATCAGGTCCATCACAGGAGACATCCAGCCCATCAAGTCCCATCTTGACAAGTCCAGGGGAGCCCAAGGGCACAAAGGCTGGTCACAACTCAAATTACGGACTCTGCAAAAGGGAAACCCCATGTGGGCCCTCCTCCAGGGCTATCCCAGCAAAGCCTTCAGCCTTGCTACTGGTTGGACTTGGGGGCACAGAGCTGCAGCAGTCCTGCCTCTATTGGGCTGCCCAATCTGTCCTAATTCCCCTAACATTGTGTGCTGACATGAATCACCTGAGACACCTCCTTTTCTTCTCCCTGAGGTTTGTCACCTTCAGCAACACTCTCCTGCTCAGCGGCATCACCAGTTCCTGCTGCCACAGCCATGTCATCTTCTGCTGCCACAGCTCCCTCGCTGACAGGTACCACCTACAAACAACAGGAGGGAGGGACATTTCAGGATATGAGTTATAGATATCTGCTGGAGAGACCATGGACCAGCACGGACCAGCTCTGTGAGCTCCCTGGGTGTTGCCAACCCACAGCTTTGGTTTCATTGTGTTTCCTATTGATTTTTGGGGAGGACAGTGACAGGGGCAAGCTTGTGGAGGGAAGGTGATTAACAGGTGAAACAGAGACATTTATGAAACCTCACTAGACACCACTTAGCAGAGTCCTCTGGTGTCACTAGAGGAGAAGCAGTTTGCCAAGGCTCTTGTATATTTTCATTCTCTTGCCTTCAAGCTGTATCATGGAAGAAATCCACCACAGGTTTCTACTGGGGAGGAGGAGCTCACAAACTGTTGATGGATCCACAGGACCCTGCTAGTGGAATCTGTTCTCAGGAAGAGACTCCAAGCCTTCTCCAGCTACTGGGCTGGCTTCAAAAATATCACCTTAATTACATACTCCTTTCTAATGGAGAAACTTGTAAAATTGGGCTATATCAGCAAAAGCAAATATATTCTACAGCTGGATAAATATCAGAAATCTTCAGATTCCATCAAATATCAGAAAAAATATAATAGTAAAAAGTATAACTAGGTCAGTATAAAAAAAATAAATACATAGAATCCTATTCAGTCTGGATATGACTAAACTATTTGTGATTAGTTCATATTAAAAGGTTAATGCATGTTCCATTACAGTTCTTGAAATGTGGAGAGAAAAGTACCTGCCTATAGATCAATGTTGAATCCTTCATCCAGCAGGGACTTGTTGTAATTTATGTATCTGCCTAACAACTGTATTTGCTACATTGTATTGGCACGTACTTACAGTAGCATATTGGATCTGTACTTACAGTGGATTAATCCTAAGGGTTGGAGAGTAGAATGTAGACGACAAAATTCTGTTAATCCAATTAACTTCAACATGGAATTTTTGACATATGGCAGATAGCACCAGGCTAAAGTAAAAATACTGAAGAAAAATTGTTTTCTAGATACTAAGGTCAAGCTACAGCTAGCAGAAATATCTCTGATGTCCAGTAAACAGCCTGAAGCTCTTTGTTTCCTCAGTTTGATCTTTCCTCTGCGGATAAGGCTAACTTGGCTGTCTGAACTCAGAACTACCTGCAATTGTTCAGGGACACTCTTCAGGCATTGTGTTTTAGTAATATCTAATATTCAGCACTACTCCTATTCAGTGCTATTAATTGACGTGATAAAGAAATGCTTCTGGATTCCACTAAGGCAGTAAACAGGGCTTTGTAGAAGTCCCTGGAGAAGTTTTAGTTTAAATTGAAAATGCTGCTGTCAAAGGATGCCCTATTATAAAAAGAAGTAACATCAAAGGGTATGGGTAGATGTTGATATCTCCTGTGACTTGTAAGGTGTACAAGCATGCCACTCATAGTATTAATTTTGGCAGCCTTGACCAAGGAGATATTCAGATAAATGATGAGTGTGAAAGCCCTGGTAGAGGCTAGTAGGAAAGAGAGGGAACAAGAGGGCATATTAGATTGATTTTATACCATGTGTTTCTAACGGCATGCTGCAGAAATTGATCTTGCTGCCTGTTGTGATTAGGATCAACACTTCTTTTCTATTTATTGGATTTGTACAGCCCATTTTATTTCACTAAGGAGGAGAATACTAATTTCCATGAATCGTCTCTCAAATGCCCGCAGGGAAAAGGTGACACTCGCACAGCCTGTAGCCACGAGTCACTGAATGTATACCATTGCTCACAATTGTGTAATCATTTGTTCTTGTGAATACAAAACCAATTCAAGCTAGAAATAAAAAAAGAATCTTTTACAAAAATGCATGTGAGGTAGCACAAAACTGTTGTCACTATCAGCCTCAAATGTATTTGATTAGTACAGGGAAAAAAAAAAAAGGTTAATTCCCCCTGAATTCATAATCAGCAATGGTGAACTACGTACTTGCAGATAGTTACCCGGATTACCTGACTTTATATTGAAAACCAAACCTACAAATCGCTCTTCCATTGGTCATCAATAATATTAGAGTCTAACAGTATTCCAATTGAAAATTGGACACTTGTCCCACTATTCTAACCACAAAGAGCACAAAGAAAGGTTCACTCAATGTAATGAGGGCAGTGATAGAAGAACCACTTGACTGCATTAATTGCAGCAGAAGTGAATGTTTCTTTACCCAGGCAATAGACAATTCACAGGCTTGCAATCTCTTCTCATTAACAGTGCTGTCAGCTCAATACGATGCCACAGATATGGCAGCAGCAAGAACAAGTCTAGGGAGAGGAGAAGGAGGGGTCTGCCAGTGGACCTCCCTGAGACATGTCAGTTTTTCAGAGCTGAAGATCTCATCCCATGGCTGGATTTAGAAAAGGACTGGGTAATTTTTATGACGGTTAGAACTGCAGCTATGCTAGCTAATATAATGTCAAGAGTAACTGATCATGATGCTTTAGGGAGTACATCAATTGCTTACAAAGCCTTGGAAGACTTTTGGGGTAGTACTGAAGGAGTTGTTATGCAAGTTAACAGTATCAAAGGGACTACCCTGCACTGGAGGCAAGATACCAGCTTAGCAAACAGAATCACAGAATGGTTTGAGTTGGAAGGGACCTTTAAGATCATCTAGTTCCAACCCCCCCACCATGGGCAGGGACACCTTACATTAGACCAGGTTGCTCAATGCCTCATCCAACCTGGCCTTGAACAATTCTAGGCAGGAGGCATCCACAACTCCTCCAGGCAACCTGTTCCAGTGCCTCACCACCCTCACAGAAAATAATTTCTTCCTACTACCTAATCTAACTTCTTTCAGTTTGAAACTGTTAACCCTTGTCCTATGCTCTCTGATTTCCTGTAGGCCCTCTTTAAGTACTGTAAGGACACTATAAGGTCTGCCTGGAGTCTTTTCTTCTCCACGCTGAACAACCCCAGTTCTCTCAGCCTGTCCTCATATAGAAGATGCTCAGACCTCTGATCATCTTTATGACCGTTCTCTGGACTCATTCCAACAGGTCCATGCCCTCTTATGCTGGGAGCCCCAGGCTGAACATAGTACTACAGGTGATGTCTCACAAGAGCGGAGTAGAAGAATCACCTCCCTCAACCTGCTGGTCACACTTCTCTTGATGCTGCCCAGGATGTGATCGGCTTTCTGGGCTGCAAATGCACATTGCTGGGTCACACTGAGCTTCTTGTCAACCAACATGCACAAGTCCTCTGCAGGGCTGCTCTCAATCCATCTCTACCCAGTATATATTTGTGTTTGGTATTGCCCTGACTCAGGATAAAGACCTCGCACTTGGCCTTGCTGAACTCCGTGAAGTTCACACAAGCCCACCTCTCAAACCCGTCAAAGTCCCTCTGGATGGCATCTCCTCTCTTCAGTGTGTCTATTGCGGCACAGAGCTTCGTGTTGTCAGCAAACTTGCTGAGGGTGCACTTGATCCCACTGTCTGTGTTGCTAACAAAGACGTTACATAGCACCGGTCCCAATACTAATCCCTGAGGAATGTCATTCATCACTGGACTCCACTTGGACTCTGAATGCAACCATACAGCCAATTCCTCATACACCGAGTGTCTCCAATTTAGAGATGTCATGAAGGACGGTGTCAAATGCTTTGCACAAGTCCAAGTAAATGATATCAGTTGCTCTTCTCTTATTTACCAATGCTGTAATCCACCACATCAAATTTGTCAGGCATGATTTGCCCTTAGTGAAGCCATGTTGGCTGTCACCAGCCATCTCCTTATTTTCTATGTGCCTTACCACATTTTCCAAGAAGATGTGCCCATGATCTTGCTGGGCATAGAGGTGAGATTGACTGGTGTGTAGTTCCCCTGACTGTCCTTCCTAAAAGAGTCTGTATTCTTTGTTCCAACACTCTAGTCACAGAAGCCATCCCACCACATCTCTGCCTGGTGGTAGTTTTGATTTCTTATGGCAGCTCTTCTGCATACAGTAATACCACTATTTTAAACAGAAGACAGGGTCAAACTTAGAAGATAAGGACAAATGGTATTAAAAAAAGGAGAAAGATTTCAAAGACCTAGCCTTGGTGCTCACAGGATAGTGAGGAATTTCTTGGATGCTTCTTTCCGGACTGGCCTTGTTGGGAGTGACAAGCCAACACTAGAGAACCAATACAACACTCACTTGCACCAGGTTGAGTTTGATCTACTACTCCTGTCTTGTACCTTCTTGTTAGTGTAATTCCAGTGATTTCTACATGGATGTGGTGAGTGAGTATGGCACCAGTGAGTCCCAAATTCCCTTCCCAGTGACACCAGGATACCCTGGAGCCACAGATATATGCTTGACTCTAGCAGAGCTAATGCTGTTCTATAGGAGGGTAACAAATCCAAGCTCGGACAGCTGGACTTACCATGTCCTGAAATCAAAGTGAATGAAGACTAGTTCATGATCTTTTTGCATACATTGTGGCAACAGCAAGTAACAACAAAAAAAGAATGTTGTCAGCACCTGAAGATACACATTCTAGGTGATCAATAACTAGGAGTTACAGTCTCTTTCCAAGTCCCTGCTTCCACTCCTGCATTTGATACACAACCACTCTTCTTGTGCTGCTCTCTGTGCGTGTTTGAACTATATATGTAGTTTCACTTTGGTACAGAAGGGTACAGGATAAGTAGTGTTACCTCTTCTGAAGAAATATAAGTAAAATACAATAATATGAGTCCACACATGCACAGTTTAAAGTAAATCATTGCGCTTTTCAGTTGCTTTGTAATTTAATTTTTACTTGATGCCAGATTTGTGTGGTAGCAAACAAATTCGTAACATAATATTTTCAAATATCTGTTTTAGTTCAGGGTACATTGTGCTAGGAAAAATAAATTATTATTCAAAGTTGTTTTTTTTTAATTTTTGTAAAGATGTTTGCAGAAGGCTAGGAAAACACATTTATGGAAAGTGTAAAAGCTACTGGGAATCTATGCAACATATTTCCATATGTCAATAGAAACAGCATTATAATTCCTTCCACCATGGAGCTGCTTTGTTAGCTGCCTCAAGTTGTCTCTCTATACTGCTGCCCACAGGCAGTTTCTAAGGCAGGTGCTGCATTGAATGAGAGGTATTGCAATACATAGTACAGACACAGATATATTGGTGCACTATTAGAATAGGTACCACAGCTAGGTCAAAGTTGCTTTGTATCAGCCTGTATATTGATGACATGCAAATGACATTTTTTGTCACAATTCTCTTGAAGATATTAAAGCACAACCCCATTCTTGAGGCTGTTCATATCTACCTCGCTTTCTTTCTCAGCAACTCCAGTTGTCTCCTTATCCCCTGCCTCGACACTGACCTGTACAAAGCAGAAACATTGTCATCACCTTAGCCATGCTGAGGCAGAGAAATTGGTATGGACCAAGCTTAATGGAAGCACGGTATGAATGGGATGCAGTGAAATGAATGGCTGGAAATAAATGGGATAGTATATAGGAAACAGAAAGATTCTTGCTGCCACATATAGTCTGCAACAAAAGTAGTTATAGGCTAAAACACAATAAATAAAACCTTTTACACATATCATTATCATCACCCTGTAAGCACACAGGACAATTTTATTTACTTTTATTACCAGTATTCTCATAATAGCACCAGATTTGAAGAATTTTTTAGTAAGTAACAACCCACAACACTGCTGACCTGGCAGTTTCCAGCAAGCCCAGATTTCTTCCAACAAAGACTCAAACAGTTCCTATTTTAACTTGCTGCTGCCCCTGCAGCTCACTAGATTTTCAAGGTAAACTTTCTAAAACACTTACTTCTTCCACTCATGTTGGACTGCAAGTCATTTAAAGGGGCTGTTCAAAAGAGGTGAGTCACAAAGTTCATAATTTTTTTTCAAGAATCACGTTTCTCTAGGTCCATATTCAGTGGTACATGCAGCAGGTGCCTGACATTTAAAAAATTAGACATGTGTCAGCAGTTTTCCAAATCTGACACCCATTTAGGTATTCAGTGGGTTGAATGCACTGAATGGTCATGTGCTCCCCCCGATCATCCTTTTTACAGCACAGATGCCATCTAACACTTAGGTCTTTTTCTACAAAGGTCAACAGTCAAAATTGCTAAAGTTCAGGCTTGGGTTGGGACATTTGGAAGTGCTTTTTCTTTTTTCTGTTCAGACTTGGCCTTCTGCCAATACAGACTATTTCTAAAGACACTACGCTGAGGAAAAGAAAATGAAAGCCTCATTACGGACATCCACTTTGCTAATAAATTTTGAGGCTGCTTTGCCAACACAGCTAGGTCAGATTTTTCAAAAGAACGGTAAGGGTGAAGACAGGTCATGCAGACCTGTGTGAGGGTATGGCAGATTGGACCGTCTGCATTAGCAATCAGGAATTAGGAGACCTCAAGTACTCAGGCTTCAGCTAACTTGCCTTCACATGCCCACATGTCACTCCAAAATTTGTACAAGTTTCAGCTGAAATGTTTGTATGTTTCTTTTTTTATTAAAAGGATGCTGAGTTATATCCAAACTTCATATCACTCATCTTTTTTCTCATCTTCTAGTATTGCCTGCAGTCACTTCATAAGCTCCAAACATGTCCAGATGCAAGGGCAAGGCAGCTGCTGACAGTGGTGTCACCATAGAAAACTCTCACAGCTTTATCCCAATACAATTACAGAATTACAGTGTTATATAACATTTTTTAAATGACTAATTTTTTCTTTTTTGACAGTACCAAACCTCTGCTGTTGAGTCCTCAATTTTATAGTAAGATTGAAGAGACTGTAGAGGATCTTAAATAGAAAAAAAAAAATCAACTGCAAAATATAATTATTTCTTACTCTAGTGATGCACGCATGCACACAGCCACCCAGAGAAGTCTCATGCTTTTGGTTTACAGACAAGATGTACGCAAATGTTTCTACTGCTTGAAAAATATTTATGTCCAACTGCAAGTTGGTAGATTAACACCTTCCTTACTTTTACTATTAAAAAGTGCTGATTTTTTACCATCAGCTGCATTTACAAGCCAACTTGCCTTCAGAAATGAGCATCATCCTGCACTTTATAGTCAGGAACATGCTAGACTCTGCCATTCTCTTACTAATAACCTGGTAATATCCTCTTGAAAGAACCTCATCAGCTCAGTTTTGTGCCTCTGCAGAAGAATCTAATACATACATAGGCATATTTTAAAATGACAACTGTTTTCTAGGGTAACTGAAAGCACGATTTTGGTGGGAAAGAGGAAAGTAAGGAGAGCTCCCCTTGCTTTCCAAAGCTTGAGACTTCCCAAAGCTAATTTGACTATTGTGCACTAGTCAAATTAGCAGCATTTTGCTTTTTTCTTTTTTCATTAGCCAGAAGTTGAGATTTTGTGGATGGTGGTGTTTGAGAAGAGAGGCAACTGCATGAAAACCTAGTAAAAAGAATGACTGAAATAATATCTGAGTAAAGTAACACCCTAGTTCCATAAACAAAGAAAAATGTGCTTCTAAAGACTTCAGCGGAATGACATGATGCTACACCAGTTCTCCCTCATGTATTAGAGCCATATATACTTAATAGCCTCATGCTTCAACTTTGCATCTGCCCTTTGTTGGGCACTCAGAATCAGGAGAAAGTTTGCACTGCTTTTCTGTATGAAACCATTGCATTGCTCTCCCAAATGACATGCTTCACCATTTGGGCACTGTGAACATTACCTGCAGTGAGATTCAACCATAATGAAATACCCTCAAAGCTGCAGGTCTCTGCTGTACTTGCTCAGTGACTGCAAAGAACTTATCAGGAGGTAGTTTCATATATACTCATACCCGGCTTTGAAAACTGCAGTATTTAGTTGAGTGTCTGACTGCTTTAACAGGAGAATATCAGAGTTCAGTAGACCCAAAACACTGGAAGTCACTTTCCAAAATAACAAGCATAAAGGCAATTAAAAAGCTGATCTCTGAACAGTGCTCTCAACTCCAAGTGTTATGTCTCACATGTAGGAGAAGAATCACAGAATCACAGAATGTCAGGGGTTGGAAAGGACCTCAAAAGATCATCTAGTCCAGCCCCACTGCCGGAGCAGGATCACCTACAGTAGATTGTACAGGAGGGTGTCCAGGCAGGTTTTGAATGTCTCCAGAGAAGGAGACTCCACAACCTCCCTGGGCAGCCTGTGCCAGTGCTCTGTCATCCTTACAGGGAAAAAGTTTTTCTTAATATTTTTGCGGAACCTCCTATGTTCCAGCTTGTATCCATTGCCCCTTGTCCTGTCATTGGACATCACTGAAAAGAGCCTGGCACCATCCTCCTGACACTCCTCCTTGACATATTTATAAACATTTATGAGGTCACCACTCAGCCTCCTCCAAGCTGAAGAGACCCAGCTCCTTCAGCCTTTCCTCATAAGGGAGATGTTCCACCCCCTTCATTACCTTTGTGGCTCTGCGCTGGACTCTCTCAAGCAGTTCTCTGTCTCTCTTGAGCTGAGGGGCCCAGAATTGGACACAATACTCCAGATGTGGCCTCACCAGGGCAGAGTAGAGGGTCAGGAGGACTTCTCTCGACTTACTAGCTACTCCCTTTCTAATGCACCCCAGGATGCCATTGGCCTTCTTGTCCACGAGGGCACATTGCTGGCTCATGGTCATCTTGCTGTTCACCAGGATCCCCAGGTCTCTTTCCCCTACACTGCCCTCCAGCAGTTCAGTCCCCAGCCTGTACTGGCACACGGGGTTATTCCTTCTCAGGTGCAAAACTCTACACTTGCCCTTGTTGAACTTCTTAAGATTTCTCCCCACCCAACCCTCCAGTCTGTCTAGGTCTCTTTGAATGGCAGCACAGCCTTCTGGTGTGTCAACCACTCCTCCAAGTTTTGTGTCGTCAGCAAACTTGCTGACAACACTCTCTAATCCCACATCCAGGTCACTGATGAATATATTGAAAAGCACTGGCCCCAGCACTGACCCCTGAGAGACCCCACTAGACACAGGCTGCCAACTAGAAGAAAGGGAAATAACAAGATTTCATAAGCTTTCACTTTATTATAATGTCCTTATGCCATCTTTCTTCAAATGTGAAAAAATTAGTTTGGTGAGAGGGGTAGTATTATTTTAAAAAGAAATAAATCAGTGATTAATGCATTATATCTCTTAGACTGTATCCTCTGGAGTTTACAGCCTTTGGAGAAGCTATGGAAACAGGGAAACAACTGTTTTGGTGTATGTAAGTCTATGCAAGGACTTTTTAGCATGGCTAACCTCACTTCTGTTGGTGCACACATTGGTGTCCCTTTCATTATCAAGTATTTTATGCCCTCCCCCAAAGAGATAACTATTAACAGTTACTCATAAAAACTTTATTTTTTTTGTGGTATCTGAGACCTGAAGGACCAAGACAAAAAGAGGTAATAAGATCCCAGACAAAAATTCTGACAAGCTCTTTTAATGAAGTATTGGCAATCCTGTTCAGGCAGACTATGAAACATCAAGTAACTGAATCCAAAACTCCCTGAGCAGCAGGTGGTACCCTATCCCCTGGAAAATTCTCTACTTGATGTAAATAAAAAACTCTACTAGAAAATTTACTGTGACAGTCCTACAATGAAGAACACATGCCATAAATTCTCAAGATTAACGGGATATGACAGGAAATTAAACCGATTAGTGGCTTCCATCCCAAATTGGAAGTTACTAAAATCGATAAAGATTCCCAGTAAGAAAGTATCTATCAATATTTTACAGCTCCACTTTTAAAGTAAACTGTCACTCACAAAGCAAATGAACGAAGAACTGCTGTGGAGAAATTACATGTTTTCATCTTTTGCAACTCAGTCTACTTTTCCTTTGCTTTGATCATATTTGTCATTAATCCTAATCTTCAAAATTCTTCTTTGCAAGTCCTTCAGCCCTTCCTGAAATAACCCCTCAGAGCCCAATGCAAAATTCAGACATTTTAAAAATCAACACTTTTAGGTTATTTTCACAAATTTGCAAGGACAACTTCCTATTAAAGAAGCAATGAAAAACCAAGCATGAATCTAATCAAAACTGTTCATCTTCTATTTAATGCCTAAGGTCCTCCTCCTGGATTGCTCTTAAATTGCCTGGCTCTTGCACTGTGTTTCTCTCTGCCTCTCTTCCTACAGCTCTGCAGTCCTGTGCCTTGGCTAGAGCAGCTGCAGACAGACCATGGGCCCAGAATTCCTCAGGGACAATCAGGTAGCAAAATGAATCATCTGAAAAGGCCATGCCAGCCAATGATGCAGCCACTGCCTGTCATTTAATTAGTGCTTAAGATGTGCAACAGGCTCCAGAGTGTCTCCTTTGTCTTAGTGTGAGACAAAAAGGAGCTGGCTTCCTTTTAGAAAAATGGTGAACTTCTTTTACAATTTTTCTTCTTCATTAAAATCGTACAGATAATCAAAATAAAACAAGCTTTTCAGCTTCAGTAATATTTGTCCTTCCATGTTATTCCCTGCCATTCACTCGTAGGAAGAGAGCTCCAGACCAATGACTGATTTCCCCATCCCTCCTCTCTCCCTCTTCCCTCCCTCCTTCTTTGCTCCAAACTACTAAATTCACTCTGACTAGACAAAAGGCATTTTGGACAAGAGTTTGATGAAACAATGTGCACCAGTCAGGCAATTTAATTCTTTGCCTTACTACAGAGTTGACAAGTTATTAGTGTGATTTGTATCAACTGAAAAAATCCCACACAGGAAAGGGAGAGCCTGGTCTCCACAGACCAGGGGGCTTTCTTTCTTTGGTTATGTTATTGGAAGGGGATTATCCTGAAGTCACTTGCTCCAGTGTGTAACTTGGAACCAAACAGAAGCGAATTTTTAAAAAATTAATTAAATAAATACTCAAAACTCATGCAAACGTGACCAGAATTAAACTCTAAATGTAGTTCAGGAGAACATACTGGGACTGCTTCCCAATACTAACAACACCTAACAATGCTGTTAGGAGCCCAGGAGAACAGGAAGGGTTGTACAGAGACAGATGTTATTTTCCTTTTCCCCAACATACCTCAGAACAGCCCACCCAGCACTGTCCCCCTTTTCTTCTACAATTAATTATTTTTTCTTTCTTAGGAAGATGGGAGGCAAGGGAGGAATTAATTAGGCAGGTGCTACAGCCAAAGTTCAGCCTGCCTCTTTTTTTCATTTGTGCTGGACACCACTTTTATTCCCGTGGAACCACACAGGCAAACTCATCAATAGTGGGAGGTGCCTCTGCCCATTGCAGAGGAGTTGGAACTTGATGATCTTTAAGGTCCCTTCCAACTTAAACCATTCTATGATTCTATTTGGTCTTTAATAAACTACATTCATACTCCAGAGCCTTGCACACCAACACTGGTACTTCCTTCTTTCTGCTGAAGACAGTTTGCTTAGATATCGCCTGTGGATTTTTCATGGGTCTACCACCACCAGCAGGTAACCAGTCTGTCTTTGGTGGCCAAAGCTAGTGGGCCTCATGTTACCCTCCTAAGTTAATGACACTACCCAGTCTAGAGTCATCAATAGGTGTCATCATTAGTTTGTAGTGCCTGAGCCATTGACACCAATACAAATGTTAAACAAGATCAGCTCCAGAGACAGATCCATGAGAGGCTGCATATCTGATAGGTCTTCTGTCAATGCTCTGCACTGCCACGTCTGTAGATGCCACCTACTTCCACTTCCTTCAGCTAATTTGCATCTACATCAGCTAATATTGCTTCCCATGTGGCAGTCTATCAAATGCTTACTGAAAATCACCTGATTTCATCATGAATTGGGTATCATCATCCCTACTTAGCAGATAAAGATACACAAGAACTCATCAAAGGCCAAGATCAGCCCAGCAAGCAGAACCTTGCTCTTCTGGGAATACTTAGGGCACCAAACTGTGCTTGATGGTCAAAAAGCACAGCTACACAGCTTCTACTGGCTTCTGTGGCAGAGGAACTGAACCACAAAACAACCCCTGTTTCTGCCCACTTTTTCAGTAGTAATCTGCATAGTCTAACAGTGGCAAACACTCATTAGAGACTTTGAATATGATATTGTCTCAAAAAAAGCATGAAAACTGTCAGCCTACAAAAACAGATGCATTTTTCCTCCAGGGCTTCTCAGCCTATAGATAGCCACTCCAAGACCTTCTGACAGTAGTATGTAGAAGAGGAACCTCAGCTGGATGAAAATGATATTCACTCAGACACCTATTATAAAAAGGGATGCTAGTTAGCAGAAAAAAATCATGCCCTGCTCTGTTCTTCTTGCAGAGCTTTCATTTTTCCTCCTCCCACTGTTTCCTGAATGCTGACATGTAAATATCTCCAACCTGGTGCTTGAAGTTCCCTCTTCAGCTCATGGCTGATTTCTAAAACCACAAGCCTTGTATACATTTACATTACAATGGCTTTTTTTTCTGGTATCGTCATGCTCTAGCAAGGATCATACAAAATTACATTGTCTTAGCACTTGCAGATCATCTTGAAATGAAATAAGAAAACTGTTAATAAGGTCATTTAAAAATGGCATCAAGTCTTTCCCTTTATGAAGATCGTCTGGAATCAAACAATCTAAAAAAATACAATCACTCAGCTGAACTTCAGTCTAAAATGCCAGATACAAGAGGTATGACATTTTAGGGCGGAAAGGAAGATGCATGCTCAAGAGGCATGATGACACAGCCATAGATGGATGGTGACGATGGAAAGGATGGCTGAAATGCAGCAGAAATATTCACCATGGCAAGAAGTGGCTCAGGTAAGGCCCGGGAAGTGGCATGAGGGACAGGTCACTCACCACAGCCTGGTCTGCTGGCTCGGCAGGTTCAGTGAGGATGGCCTCCTTTTCTGCAGGAGCAGCAGCAAGGGCTTCCTCAACCTTGGGTTCTCCAGCTGGAGCTTCTTCAGCCTCGGTCTTTTATTTTATCAGTTTTTAAGTAGACAGTGGAAAAATTGTTGAGGAGCACATGATAGTACGGAGGGAGGAGGGGAATGGGAACGGTACCTGGCACAGTGCTGCTTCAGCAGCTCAATCTTGCCAGGTTTTGCCAGGGAGAGGACACCAGTGCTTGGCCTTATAGCATCTAAAGGGCATTTTCATCCTCAGTGTTCTATCTGTAAACCAACCCAGTCCCACACTCTTCCCTCACAAGGAAAGAAAACATCAGCTTCCTGAATTACCAAAAGGGGCAATGGAAGTGGGGTGAAAGCACTGGGTTTGCTCAGAAATGCTCTTGAAACTGATGGCAAGGCCAGGAGTTGAAACTGGCACTCATGTGTACAAACCCTGGGCTTCAAATATGAGTTTTAAAAATTATCTCCTATTCCCTAAATCTGCCTGTTCTCAGACAATATAATCCCTTCTCCAGTGAAGGTAAGAAGAGATTCAAGTGGTTTTTATATGCACAAGGGCAACCATCGACTGCCTGAATTCTGGCAGTGTGAAAATCATCCCTCATTTCTTATTAAAATGTGTTCCCTCTTGAACCTTCAATCACCTACAAGGCATCCATTTGTCAACAGTCTATTGGGACTTCTACCCTTTTATATTCTGGCAGAAGATCATTTTTGAGCCAGAGAATCTAGCAAATCTCACCAGACCTGCAACACATTCAGTCTTGTGGCAAAACAGCTCACAGCAAAAGTGTGATCTCCAACGGAGACGCCATTTTGCTAATACAGGCACACACAGCGGGGGAGCTGTAAGCTGTGCTCAGCATATTCCATTTGTAGGGGGCTGGTTAGCTCAGTAAGTTGAGTGTGGTGCTAACAACACTAAGGTCGTGGGTTTGATTCCCGTTTGGTCCCCATGTGTTGCCTGATCTAGTCGAAAGGTGGCGTCCCTGGTGACAGGGAGGCTGGATTAAAATGATCTCTAAGGTCCCTTCCAGCCTAGGCCATTCTATGATTCTATAAGATAGCTGACTCAACCAGATAAAATAACCTAGCAGATCATTTTGCCATGAACAAATTGCTCAGCATAATATGAAGCTCAAATGCTATTGAGCTGCTTTGCAGTTGATAACATGCATCTGGCTAGAAGGTCTCCTGTGATGAAGAGATAGCTTCCATGAAATTCTTAAAAGACACTAAAATCCTCTCCTCTACAATATTTTTCAGGAAAAGCTCCATAGCCTCTCACTTCTCACATACTCCTCATGGAAACTGATTTTTAACGAGGTATAGAAAAGTCTGCCTAATCATGACCTTCAGGATTTGGCACAGCATAAACAAACATTCACTATATGATAAAATGCTGTGCAGAAATCTCTGTGTAGTGCAATAATGCCAGCTCTAGTGAATTTTACAATGAAGAAATAGGACTGAAATAAGAAACACAAAGCAGATTTATCCTAGGTGACTAATGAGTTTCCTGAGCTTTAACACTGGAAAAAACTTTCAGGTTTAAAATCACAGGTAACATGTTATGTTGTGCATTGTTGTGCTTCAAGCTACTTGTTGATAAGTAGTCATTAGACTAGTTACTACAAGTAAAAATAGTCTCATCATGTTCAGTAACCATTATGAACACAAGCACTGCCAGAGGCATTATACAAAAGCCACATTAAATAATATCGAGTATCACTCTGCTGCTATTAAGTAGCTATAGCAGTCACCCAACAATGCTGCTAATTCCACGGCCTTACTCCAGGCTAAACAAAGAATAAAAGTGAGAACGCCCAATGCCAGAAAGATTCTCCACTCCTTCAAAGTAGACTGTGTGGGCTATTAATATGTGGAGAGTGCATAAAACTCCAGCAATAATGAAGACATTTAAATAGTCATTATGCCCTATCACCTACTTGCTGTACACTGGACCATAGTTCTCATCCTTGCCACTTCTTACACACAATAAATGAACAAACTGTTTGACTACACCTTTGAAAAATAAACACATCTCAGAATATCTGATTTTCTCTCCTTTTTCTCTGTGCTATCCTTGGGAAAGATTATTTCAGTGAGCAAAGACTGACAACTACAATGATTTTTGTGATATAGAGGGTGGAAAACACAATAAAGGAGAAAATATTTTTGCACGAAGGAAAAATTGTGCCATTTTTCACAAAGCATTTAAAAAGAAAGAAAAAGCCACCACTTACCAATGGTTCTGCCATGTTCTCATTTGATTGCACTGCAAATGCAGAGGTATCCTAGATATAGAAATGAAAGACAACAATGTAAATATATTTGAGACGGGATGTTTGCAGATGTCCGTCAAAGACTTGACTTTTTCATTGGTTTGCTCAGGTAAAGGCATAAGTAAATTTACATAGAATAAGATGACAAATAGATAACCTAAATAGGTATTAATAATATTTATTAGTTAAGCAGTATTAATCTTAAAGACATTCCTTTTTCAATTATACATTCCATGCTTCTAAGCCGCAAAATGTTATTAAAGGCGGAGAAAACCCCTTCGTTAAACACATGTAAATTGCAATTGTTTCAGACACAATATATTACCAAGTTGCAAAACTCAGATTTTTTTTTGCAGACTACACATGCTTCTGCCTAGGGAGCATGCCACCTTAGAGCTAATTTCACATCCTCTAGATTCTGGGCTTTTATTTGAATAGTAATTATAGTAATTATGGATACAAAATTTTACCTGCATTAAGAAGATACAAAAATGGAGATGTTTTCCAGTATCTATGATTCTATGATCAGAACCAATGCATTCAGAATCACTTTATTTGCAAAATACTCATGGGTCAAATCCTTTTCATACTGCAGTGGGGGCACCAAATTTTGATTTCCTTGGGGCATACATTTTGTCTGTTCTGCCCCTTTCTTCTGGATCCTTCACTAATTTAAAAATCCTGGAGCAGAATGGTTAAGCATCGGAAGACTGACTTCCATCTTTGTATAAGCTCAGCCTTTTTGGGTGCTTTTTTAAAAATGGTGTACAGGCTGTACTGTCAGTTTCTAAACAGATCTGTCAGTTTCTAAACTGTCAGTTTCTAAACGGATGCTGGAAATGAATGAGGCCGCAGGTTATCGTACCAAAATTTGGGATCTTGGCACAGCCTGGGAATTTGAAAGCATAAACGCAGTATCTTCATGCACTGTATCTCTGTGATTCTTAACATGGAGTCTCACCATCAGAATAGCAGCAAACAAACAATTTAGGTTTAACTTTCAGATTAAAATGTATCTGGAATTAAAATAAAGGTGCATAAACAACCAAAACTCATATATACACACACAGAATCACTGAAAGTACGTGAAACTGAGGAAACCATGCTTTACAGAGTTTTGACACTGTAAGAAAAATTCACAAATAAAGCAGTCTCTTTAGGAGGAAAAAGTAAGTCCTGCTATGGTAGTCCAACTTCTACTATTGAATTCAGTCAGGCCAAGAGTATCAAGAGTATTTAGCATCATTCTAATAGCATTTAGGAACAATTTCTGAGAACAGAAAATATTTGAGTCAGTATGAACCTGTTGTGCAGCTCATGTGTAGAAAAGATTTCCTGAAATCGTACAGCCAATCCTAGTCCCTTCCTTATGGCATGAAAAAAATAATATATCAAAACATGTTTATATCTTACCTGTGCAAATCCATTAAATGCTGTGCTGGATGCCTAAGCAGAAGTGAAGATCAGAAGAAATTATCATTTGTTTACTAAATCACAACATGAGTCAAAACATTTTTATTTGCAAAATAAAAATGTAGGCCAGACATTAAAAAAAAAATAAAATATTAAACTGAAGGGTAAAGCAGCAAGAAATTTAAGGACAGTGCTACTTGATAACAGGTGTCACAGGCTTAAAGAAAACACCAAAACAAAAAAGCAGAATAATTTAAATATTTTTATAAAATAATACGAAAAAAAGACCAGGTGCATTAAAAGCTGTACATATAAACCATGAAACCTGTGAGACACAACGTGCCTTCACAGTTCAAAGCTTCATTCACCATTTTGAAAGGCATTCTTGCCAGCCTGCTTCACAGCTGAAGGGCACCACGCTATGAACAGTTGCATGGCAATTTGTTTAAAAAAAAAAAAGAAAAGAATAGCACAGGCTTAGGAGGGGCAGTGGGAAAACAAACAAATGGACCGTTTTTAAACGACAAGGTTATGCATGGCCTAAGGAACTCTTTGTCTAGACTAGGCTACACACTGGGGTAGGTACCTCTTCTTTATCAGCCTCAATTTCCTGGTACAACAATCCATATCTCCGGTTAGCAATTTCATCTTCAGATAAATCTGAGTTGTTGGTCTCATTGTCTTTGGGACTAGTTGGACTCTCGGTGCTAGCATTTCTGGAATTTCCCATTTGAAACAGAGCCAAGGGCCTAGCTATCTCCTTGCTTGGTCCAGGATTGCTAATGCCTGCCTGCTCCCCAGGCAAGCCTTGTTTTACTGATGCCTCCTGACTTTTATTGCTTGTACTTGCACCTACTTCTCCCCAGCTGTTATCAGCCCCTCCTATGTCTTGTGTCGACCAGTTATCACTAATGCCTAACCAAACGTTTTCCAAGTTACCTTCCTCTGAGTCTTGTTGCTTGGAGAAAAAAGGCCAATTATCAAGTCCATTGGCTTGGCCATCTGACAGATTAGAAAACCCCCAGGAATCATTAGTAACTGTCGGATCCCAGTTTGCCAGCCAGGGGTCTGTTTCCAAGGCTTCAGGAACACCACTGCTACCAGGATGCTCTTCAACCACTGCTGCTGCCGCCCTACCTGTCACTTGGTCTTCTGCATTATTGAGGCAAGGATTACCATAGCTTGTGCTAGTAGCATCAGCTGTCTCAGGCAGCAATGCCCACTCTTTTTCAGCAGCAGCTTGACCTTCAGCAGCAGTGCTACTGTTTGAGAGAAGACTGATGCTGTTGTCTTCGGTTCCTTTATCAGACTCTTCTGCACTGAGTAATTCAGCATCACACAGAATGTTTCCAGTGTCTGTAGGATCCTCTTCTGTGTGGTCAGTTACCTCTAGGCAAACACAGGCCATCGTGTTTATACACTCCACGGATGTTTTCTCTCCAGTACCACTGTCAGTTTGGTCTAAGCCATCCTCAAATGCCCTTTCATGGTCCAGATCCCAGATAGCACAGGCTCTCTCAGGTTCAGCACCAGTGCCTTCTGTAGTTTCACAGTTGTCCACTACTATTTTGTCCCCACTTTCCAGCCCTGTGCTCAAAGATGGTGTTCCTCCATCTGTCCCCTCAATGACATTGTCCCATTTGAATTCTTCTTCCCTGAGGTTTTCCATGTTAGCACCACTAGCTCTCCTAGCATCCCCATGATTATCTTCTAACTTATGTAAATTTTCTACCTCTGTGCTGGCTAAAATGTCAAGATCTAATTTTGCTAAACCCTTATAAAGTTCCACCTCACTGCTTCCTTTGGTTTCACAACCTTGCTCTTTCAGTTCCTCTGTACCTTCTACCTCCTTGTAGTTAACAGCTCTGGTCTCTACCTTTTCACTTGGCTCAACACCTGCCCACTTGTCCTCCTCTTGCTCTTCCTCTGCCTTTTGCACATCACATGAGAGAGGTTCACCCAACAAGCTATCGGTTCCCAAGATGGGTGTCTCAAAATTGGTTATGCTCTCTAAAGGCTGATTGGTCATCACATCTTGCCATGGGACATTTTTGGCATCCAATTGGTCCTCCAGTGAAGTCCTCTGGTTTTCATTTGAAGAAGTTGACCCTGGTGCACCATCCTCCTGCTCACCTACAGCAGGCCAAACACTAGCAGGCAGAGTACCCAGAGTACCTGTGGGTTCAATTGAGGTTTGCTCTGCCCCAGGGAAAAGCAAAGAACCGCCTGCAGTAATTTCCTGGCTGACACTGAGTGTGCTAATATCTAGGCCCCAGTTGAGTGAACCTAGATCAGTTTGAGATCTGTTAATATCTTCTGATGGCCCACTGTTTGGGGTTTCCTCCATGACCAGGTTACACAGGGAAAGACTTTTTGAAGAATCAGGCTTTAAGCAGACAGAAAAGCAAAGAAAAAACACAAGATGAAAAAGATAAAGGAGGACTTGATGAGAAAACACAAATTTTCTATTTTACTAGAGTAATTTTAATTTAAAGAATGAAAGTGACTAAATTAAGCTGTTTAAGGAAAAGCTATGTGGTTTGCAACATTTGGAGGTAATAGATAGCAATGTAGAAGAGCAGCATTGATAGACAAAACCAGAAAACTACATGTTACACCACACTGACTAAAGCATGTCTCTACAGAGGTTGCGATTTTGAAGGAAAGTTTGCTTACCGGCTGCACCAATTCGCTGCTTGTCTGTATAGAAGAAAATCATACACATAAAACACAGAAGAAAAAAAAGTGATTTCCATGGTTGCAGCAGCAGTTTGTTAATTAGGAATTCTCCAACCAGCAGCCGTCACAAAATTGCTGTGGGGAAGGAGTGGCAGGGGGCCTCCCTCTATTGGGGGGGGGGAGGGGGGGCCGGCCCCCCCCCTGCCACTCCACAGAAGGCTAATCTCAGGCCATTGATTTTAAGCCACGCTTCCAGACTCTGTATTATATTATAAGTTCTACATGTAAATTGAATATTTAGAACAACTTGCTTTCCTCTGTGAGCCACTGGCATTTTTACTGCAGTTGAAAAGAGAAGCTGCTTTGGGAGAAAAAGACCAAGGAAGGCAACAACGCCAGTGGCAGTGGGGCTTGCTTGGATTTACACTATGGCATCACTGCATCACTTGGGCAGTGCAGAGGGCAGCTCTCCATCATCCTGTGCCATGCAGAGGCATTTACATCCACACAGAGTAAGGCATCAAGTCACAAAATTCGCTGCCTGCATAGCCCTTTTAAGAGATAAAAAAACTGCAAGGAACATCAACAACTACTCTGAGCTCAGCTTAAAGAAACTCAGTAAAAGGCTGAGTATCCCTAATTTCAAGCATTTAGCTGGGAAGCTCACTATTTCATTTTAAAGGAGAGCAAAGAGGAAAATAGTTACAATACAAAACACATATATAACATTAACAAGCTATAAATAAACCTGTGCGAAAAGAAGACATTGATAAGATATCTAATGTAAGTTTAGAGCAATACATTTGAAACATTTGTGGGTTATTTTAGCTGGTCTAGATATTGGCAGCCTTGAAATTTTGGCTAGCCTACATATGTAACTTTATTTAACAGGCTTTATTTAACCTTTCCCAATAGAAAGAGATGAGCATTTAATATACATCACACATGCCATGTATTCACAAAAGAGCTGCTAATCTGAAGGCACAAGAAGTATCCACAGATTTCTGTGCTGGCTGAAGCTGCAAAATGTCAAAAATGAGTGAACCAGGCTCCATGTCAAGCCAACCATCTATGCCCATGACATAAAGTCAAAAGAAAGCTCCAAAAAATGAGCTGTTCTCTTCCTGTGGATCATTGTATCTGATCTGGCATCAGGAAGAAGCATTTGTGCAGTTTCCTACAGTAGTAGTTTCTTTTGTAAATAATACCAGTTCACTCTATGTCCACAAAGAAGTTAAATTCTCGCTTTACTCCTGGACTTTGAGAAAATGGCTGTCCATTGGGTTAAAATCCTGAGGAACTACCCTTTCAGATAATTACAACAAGTGACTGGCATCCATTCCTATCCTCTAATAGCTGTAATTCAGACATGAGAATAAAAGCAACATACACTTAGCTGTAATGATTGTGGATCTTATTAGTCTAGATTTCTGACAATATTTAGGTTTTGTAGGCCAAGCAACAGAGATTATTTTTTGCTGTTGTTAGATTTAAAAGATTCCCAGTGGCTTCATCTACCTCAAAGCGTTTGTCACAGTCTATAAATTCTTAATCCTGGCTTTTGGTAAAAGCACTGCAAATCTGCATTTAGGGTGTTACAAAATCAGAAGCATAGAAATATCCCAGTTCATAATGATAAATGACAGGCTTACCGTCCACAGATCCCACGGCAATGTCTGAAAAAAGGATCAGTAAAAAGAGGCTCTTAGAAAAATAATATTCTGCGTTCAACATGCTACATAATAAGAAGGAATTAGTTTATATGTATATTTTTAACACATATTTTACATGTGTGTGTGTTTGGAGGGGTGCATATCTGCATAACATGCCTTTTGGTTAAATAGGATTAGCAGTATGTGGTGGATTGTGGTATTTCCCACTTCAAAGCAGTTGTTTCCAGCAAACTCACACTCCCACATACTTGAGTAACAGTCAGATTCTGAGCTGGTGACTGAATGACTTTTAACAGGTACAGGAGTCTCTGTAAGGTGTAAGCTTTAAAGAACGTACATAGGTCAGGTTTTAAAAAAAAATGTAAAAAGATCCAGTTATCCACTGAGAACAAGTGGGTTTTCTCATAACTTTGACAACAGGAAAGAGAATGGCATGCTTTTGGTGAAAAAAAACAAGAAAGGTGACCAATATTTTTATTCTCTTGTCCATCCTGTTAAGTAATAAATGTTAGCATCCTCTCAGCAGAAGAGCTGAATGGACAAATGAAAGAAAAGCAGCAGATGTCATGCCAAATATTAATAGCCCACCATACGAGAAGGAACTCTGCTGGTTGGTCCCAAAAGCGGGCTGGATGTGGCACTTAGTGCCATGGTCTAGCCTTTGTAATGCTGTTGAGTCATAGGCTGGACTTGATGATCTATGAGGTCTTTTCCAGCCTCAACAATTTTGAGATTCTGTGATTCTGTGATGTTTCACATGCTCACGTTTGGTTCTCATGTGTATTTCTTTAGAAAACAAGTCCTTTTCAGTGCTACTGTAGCAGCTACCACTGCAAATATCTTCTGGGTGAGTAAAGGACAGAAACTCTCACGGGGGGTTGGACTAGATGATCTCTAGAGATCCCTTCCAACCCTGAACATTCTGTGGTTCTGTGATACTATACTCACACCTTGGTTAAAGTCCATGAAAAAACCCACATCCATAAAATAAAATTTAAAACTGTTCCTGAGATATTTGCAGATGTTAAATGTGACATCTATCTTTGCCTGAGAGAAAAGATTGCTGCATTTAGCTTCTTTTCTTGCCTTGTTCAGAGACTCATTCTGTCCTTATAAAAAAAGATAAGGACAGAATGGGTCTCTGAACAACTTCTGCTTTCACAAACATAATCCATCAGAGATCACTTCAGATCTCATTATATAACTAGGACTGCACACCAAATAAGATATTAACAAACTGAGACAGAGATCAGCAGAGAACCAGGACTATCTCAGCCTTAAAGCGTCTTGTCTTCTCACTCCTTTCCCAGTGCAGCATTCCTGATAAACTGATGAGTCCTCTCTTGTCTCACAGTACACGCCAGGTTAGTTGTAGCCACAGGGATAACAGGTCTTGCTAACAGTGGGTTAATGTTGTTTCCTTCTCTCTGTACAACACAGAGCTACAGCTCTGCTGGCCAAGAGAACTCCTCAACAGTACTATTAGCCCTCCAGGTAATGAAGGCAAAAGCAAATGCAAATCAGTATTTGGATATATCAGCCTTTTTTATCCTTTTTTCTTTTTCCTTTTCCCTTTCCCTTTTTTTCCGTTTCCTCTTCCTCTTTTTTTTTTCTTCTTTTAATATTGGTGCAAGAAACTACCATGGCAAATATTATCCTAGAATGCAGAATTTCTTTAATGCAACATCCTGTACGGAAACTTCCTCCTTCATCCATTCATTTTCCTTGAGGTTAGATCTAAAATAGATTTACAAAACCACTCAGATCATATCCACTGCTTGGTACAGAAACTCCATCCCAGCAAAGCAATTGCATGCTGGCTCCACAAGACCTAGACCCTCTGATGCATCTTTACAAACATGAAGAGTCAAAGCCAAGTCAGAAAAAATGTCAGGAAAACAGGTGCTGGAGAATTATAATTTTGGCACTAGGAGTTACTCATCACAGAATCATAGAATGGCCTAGGCTGGAATGGACCTTAGAGAACATTTAATCCAATCTCCCTGTTGTGGGCAGGGACACCTCCCAACTAGATCAGGCAACACAAGGGGAATGGGGATCGAACCTGCAACCTTGGTGTTATCAGCACCATGCTCTTAATCGACTGAGCTAACCGGCCCCCAAAGCCAAGGCCAAGGTACCAGCAACCATTCTCATTGGCAGACATATTTTACCACCTGACAATTAACTCTCCTTCCAGTACATCATCAAGTACGGAATTACTGAATGGGAAAAGATACAGCTGCTCAGGAAGATCAAGTTTTTCAGACACTCTGCAGATATGCTGCTCATCAGTACAATGAGGCAAACCTTTTCTACCGAAGGCAGCACACTGCATTCATACACTTCGCCCACCTCAAGGCAAAGAGATACCTGAGACATTGGTGAATGAATAACTCCCGTGGATACAATTTCTGGCTTGAAAGGGTCAAAGTCCAAATCTAGCAAAGATTCTTCTTTCTTAGCTTCAGGAACTTCATTCTGTTAGAAGAGAGATGCAACTCTTGAAAAACTCATTTTTCAAAAGCTGCCCTAGGCAGCAAAATATAAAGAGGACCAAGAAAAAAAACAAACAAAAAATCAGATACTTTTTAGCTGTGGTGCAAGCCAGGAGGGGAGAAATCTCTAAGAATTTCCAGAGCTTTAGTGTAACTTTTAATTTTATTTTTATAAGCTTCATGCTTACAATGCCTTTGTTTTCTCCGGAGTGCAGCTTTATCTTTTCAGGCTAAACAAATTGCAGCCTTTTTGAAAAAGTGCTGAGTATTCACTGTTTGACCATGAAGGCCCTTTGAGACAGACACCAAAATGGCACCCAATGTCCATACATTCTAATATTTAAATATCTCACCAAACACAAACATTACTGAAAAGCCAATACAGAAGGACACAAATGCATTTGAACTAAATTTCGATTCTGAACATAAATATCCATCTATATTTAATGCTGCCCTTAGCTCCAAGCTGCAGGAAACATCTTACATAACACTAACTAAATGTCGCTTCACAGATCTGCTCTTAAAAAAATGGATTACGTGGTAGAGCTTTCTTTATGTTTGTTTGTAATTAATGAATTAGCCAAGGCCTCTGAGGTCACTATAAATTTATATATTGGTTTGGCAAACTGCAGGCCTTTCCTGCTGTAAAGTAACATGAAAAAATAATCAGCGTGCTTCAACATAAAATTTTAATTAGTGTGAAACTGTAGCTGAGATTTAATTATCACTAATGATAAATATTCTAGGTAAGCATCTTGGGTTTGGTAACAAGGCTAGTACTGGATACTGCTAGTTCTTTAGTGTTTATTAAGCAGTGAGAGAAGCTTGTGTTTTGATGTACAGAATATGTAGATAGTGAAGTATTCATTAAAACGCTGTTTTGAAAATTGTTCAGATAGGAAACAGTACCATGGGAGCTTATATGTACACATACATTTACATATAATCTTATGTAACAATGGTAACACAGGGTCAGACCACATAGTCCAATGTCCCATTACTGACTGTGACCAAAGTGTATGCCACGGAAAATCTAGAACAAAAGGGCAGCTGTAGGAGTAGCAGAACTAGGAGACAATAATAATGATGATGATAGTAAAATATACAAACGAAGCCTCTCTACTATAAAAACATTAAGTGTAAACTTTTCAAATTAGTGTTGCTCTCCACAAAACGATGTTCAAATGTAGATAATGACTTCCATACATCACAAGATGCCTGAGCAATCTGTGTCACCTGAAAACATGGACAAAATAGTTCCTCAGCTCCCATGCTAAGAATGACAGTGGGACCTGGAACTCTTCAGTCTGGAAGAGCAGTGTGGGGGTGATGTGAGCAGTGTCTATACCAGCATAAGAGGCACAGGGGTCTGGCTGCTCCAAGACTCCTCCAAAGCAGGACGGCAGGTGGCCACAAAGTTGATGGGGGCAGATATGGAATAAAGAAAAGGTGTTAAGGTACTCCGTGTGGCACAGAGTTCTGCTGGGGACCTCCTTGCCATCAGGTAGGGTGAATGTGAAAAATTTACACATGCTGAAAGAACAAATTTGTGGTGAATTAGTCTGTTGAGGACTACTAAATAGTAGAAATCATGCTGAGGAATCCCCTGAGCTGCAAATGGCTGAGAGCTGGGAGACTATAGGAGAAGAGGGTATAAGGAGTACCAACTTTGCTTGCCTTGTCTTATGTTCTTCCCTTGGCCTCTGCTTCAGGCCACTGGTGATGATGGATGACTGGTCTGACACACTTTAAAAAGTCTCACACTTTAAAAAGTCAAAACCAAAACAGCCCTTCCCACCAGTAACCAGCATTACATGCACTCTGGCATGTCTTTTGTCCAAGATTTCATCACATGTTCCCCTGAGGTACTAGTGTTCGCTCATGTCATACGGCTTGACAAAACAACGCAGCATTAGTAGTACATCATCAGAAATGTATGGAGATGGAAAAGTTTATTATCTCGCAGTGAGGTTCCAGAGTAAGTCATTATTTATAAGGACTGGGTTAAATGAATAGGAGTCTCAATTAGAACATGCATGATGACAGGGTACAGATCACAGCCTGCAAAAATTACCATTACTTCTTATCTCAGACCAAAATGAAAAGAACTCTTGTCATAACTTTAGGAGCAAACGCCCAAATAAACATACATAGTAAATGAGATATCACACTGAATGGAGATTTAAGAGGAACAGGGACAAAGCTGTGACATAAAGGCCTGCCAATCATCCAGCGTTAATTCCATCATAGCATGAAGCATGAATAAATACCACATTTGAAAGAGGTGGCTGTGGCAGAAGCAAGGCTGTACCACTCAGAGGATATCTATGCGTGAAGGATGGTGAAGGAACAAGAAACCTGCAAGGACCACCAGAACTTCCACCCTTTCTCTGTACACAGCTATATAAGTCTTAAAATAGCCCTAGCAGATACAAGTTCTTCAGTTGGCTATCTGAGACACTCAAACACATTAACACCTAGAGTGGGCGTATTGTAGAGGCTTGCAACATCCAAGCTAGTAACTGGACACCAGGGAGCAAAGTTATGTGAAGAAAACAAGAAATAAAGCAAGGAATACTCATTTCTAAATGATCCTTTAATCTTAGCACAGATAACACATCTTGTTTCTTACCTCTTTCTTTTACTTAGTAGTAATTAAATCCATCCCTGATAACTGAATAAACTGGAAGTGTGAGCTGCCTTGCTGAAACAGGATCAAAATATTCTACAGCGTCAAGCAGAACTGTCTTTCAGCATCTTGCACAACACCGAACGCATTAGTACCACTTAGTAAAGAAAGATGAACAACAATTACAGGCTATTTGAGTTTGGCCTGCTTGTAATCCTCTCTGAAACATAGGATTAAAGCAGCAAAGTTCTCTTCAGCAGCCCATTGGATTTGTGTTTCTGCATGAGTGCAGTGCCAAGGAAACCAGGGGTGGTCCTTTGGGAAGTCCTGTATCATTAGAGGTCTCTGCAGGATCAGTAGTGTCCTCCATACTGTCTAAAAAGGGCTTTGGGAGCACAGGAGATGCCAGAAGCATCAAGGGAAGTAAGTCCATGTTTCCTGTGGACTGGATTTCATGCAATATATTTTCAATAACTGATTCTCTTACAAAAGGATACAAATCCTATACATAAAGTAAGGATACTTAAGTGATGGGGGTTGGTTATTTGGAGGGAGAAGTGCAGATGATTGAATCAAAATTGACAGGCTGAGAGACTTGGGGTTGTTCAGCTTGGAGAAGGTTCCGGGTAATCACAGAACCATAGAATGTTAGCGGTTGGAAGGGACCTCTACAGATTATCTAGTCCAACCTCCCCACTAAAGCAGGATCACCTAGAGAAGGCCACGCAGGAAAAGCCAGGCAGGTTTTGAAAGTCTCCAGAGAAGGAGACCTTATAGCAGCCTTCCAGTACTTAAAGAGGGCCTCCAGGAAAGATGGGCAGGGACTCTTTATCAAGCACTGTAGTGGTATGACGAGGAGTAACAATTTGAAAGAGGGTAGATTTAGATGAGGTATTAGGAACAAAATTCTTTACTACGAGGGTCGTGAAACACTAGAACAAGGTGCTCATAAAAGCTGCGGATGTCCCCTCCCTGGAAGTGTTCAAGGACAGTTTGGATGGCGCTTTGAGCAACCTGGTCTAGAGGAAGGTGTGCCTGTCCTTGGCAGGGAGATTGTTATTAAGTGATCTTTAAGGTCCCTTCTGACCCAAACCATAATATGATTCATGATGAGGTGGCCAGGGAATAGCTTAGGTCATTCCCATGTCACTGATTGTGGAGGAGGGAGGGAAATAAATCACTCACTGAAGGGGGATCAATTCTTCCTTGAGAGACAAAGGAAAGATTTCAATTCTCAGCAGCACAAATGCAATTCCATTTTTATATCAATCTCGTAGAAAGGATGTAAAGATTCTGAAAATGTGACTTACATTCATGTAAAGCCCTATTTCAGTGTCAGCTCTTAATGGAAAAGCAAACCAGTTCCATTTCTACTTCCCTGGCTCATCTGACAGGTGAAGTTTAGGTGGATACAGCATTTCATGCAGGTGACCACATCTAGCACAGGTTACACCAACTCTTGCCAGAATGCTAATGCCCATGAAGTCAGGGTGTGATGAGGCAACAGAGTGTGATGATGCAATCTCCTGTTAGCAGGAGGGCCCTGCAGCAGCTTCATACTGGGACCTGTCATTACTTCTTTAATTGCACAAAGACTTTTCTCTTCCAGATAGATGTCTATGGACAGCAGTGTCTTTTTCTCCCCTCCACAAGAAAACAAATCAATGTTCCATTTCTTTAAATTAATTCTGTTTTTTCTTGCTGTGCTACATTCTCCTTTGTTTTCAAATGAATTAGTACAAAAACTATAATTCATATGAAAACAAAAATTCACAAATATTCCGCATAATTTTCAGATCTGCATACTTCTCCCCAGTCTATCAGACATGCATTCAGATTTCAGAGTTGTAATTATCACAACAGAAAGAGTCCATTATTGAACAACTAGCAGTTATCGTAACTGCATAAAAGCTGAATAACTGAATACAAACACAATTTTTTAAAAATTACATCATAATGAGATAAAAGTAGTTTTACTCATTTATCTGCTATGCAACTGTTTCTATAAATCAAAATCAGGTGAATGAACAATCTAGCTGGAGCAGTCTTTTATACCTGTGTCATGGGTTTGAGTCAGTCAGGGTTTTTGTAAAAGCAGAGGTGAAGCTTCAAGAGTCTCCCCCACCCCAGGTAGAAGTCAGACCTGCCTCTGGCCAGGGCCAGGCCAGTCAGTGCCTCTGCCATCAAGGTATTTAAGAGGCAAGCCCATTGTTCTTTCTCTCTCTTTTGGCTTCATCTTGTCTTGAGCTGTCCTGTCTTTAATGCTGGGGAGTTCTTCTGTTGGAGGAACATCACCCTGAGAAGAAAGAGGGGAAGGAGAGTCCCAGAGGAGAAGGAAAGGGAGAAGGCTGCTGGAGCAGGACCCTTTCCTGAAGCTCTGTGGTGGCTGAGATGGCAGGAAGGTGAATGGCTGACAGTTGGGGAAATCAACAGCTGTGAGGGTGCCCAGGAAATGGTGGCACGTGCAGAACCCCATGTGAGACCAAGCATCAGCAGTGGATGTGCCCAAAGCGATCTGTGGCCCTGAGGGACTCATGAGGAGGAAGAGGATTGCCTCCTGTGAGGTGGGCACCACACGGCTGGAAGGAGAGACTGCGAGGAGCCCTCTTTCTCAAGGAGGAGCTGCCATGCACGATGTGTAATTTCCAGATGGACTGTACCCCCCATCCTCTGCCCCTCTTGCACTGATGGGGGGAAGGAGGTAGCTGCGAAGGTGGAAGGAGTCGGGGGGAGTGGGGAGAAGTATATTTAAGATTGGGTCATATTTATTGATGTATTCCTCTCACCATCCCACTTCGTAAATGGTGGTGGTGAATTAAATCTATGTTTTTCTCCCCAAGTGTCTCTGGTTCTCTGCCCATCATCTTAAATGGTAGATTACTACCTTCCCTATCCTTAATCCCAAACTCTTGAGCCTTTTTAGCTGAACTGTCTCCCTCCACATCACTGTGATAATGGGGGTGGCGGGAGGAGTGAGCTGGAGCCACATGGTTTTTGTCCCAGTCGGCTTGAACCACAACAACCTGCAAAAAGTTGATTAAAACAGCCAAGTTCCATTTTTTTAAAAATCACTCAAAAGTAAACAAGGAATATATTTTATGATTTTGATGGAAGAAACAGAAGTAATGAAGGATGACTGTAAAGTGCCAGTTGAGATGCTTAGGATTAGAAAAAAAAAGCATCTTAGATGAATTCTTACCTTGTAATACAACCTGAATGCAGTTAAACCTTAAATACGGCTGCTTCGCAGTATTTTTAGCCACGTCTCTGAGGAAATTTCCAAGTTTTTTTTCAATATGTTAGCAATATTAGCCCTTTCGAGTGATTATGTGTGGCCTATTCAAAAATAGAGCAATATATGTGTGACCCTTTCAAGACAATGTAAAATGCTACTTGTGCCTCTGCCTTTCATGTGGACGCTCCTTGTCACTCCCCACAGACATCAGCCCCAAGGCCACCATCTTGGAGAACTTGAGGTTGTTGCAAGTTGGACCATCCTCTGAAGCTTACCTGTGATGGGGTCGTCACACTGATTTCTGGGACAAAGTTATCATCAAAGAAGTTAATGATATTCTCCTGCTGCAGCTCCTTTGTAGGCGTGAGCTTGGGTAGTGGTGGGACTGGTGGACCTTTCCTCAGCTAGACAGACAGTAAAAATGTCACAGACTAGTTCAGAGATAAAAGAAAGGGCTTTAAGCTAGGCCTAAACAATTTATGTTAGGTTTTTATCTCTGCTGCTTCACCTTAAATGTGGGAATAAGTCATGGATTGAAAGGAACTGTACAGTTTCCCCACCAAAGGCCTTGAAATAAACATTGTGGGAAAAGCAATAAAACATTTCTTGGCTGATTTTTTTCTGCTGTGATGGGCACACAGTGCAAGACATTTCCTCTCCTAAGCAGCCTATAGCTGGAAGGACAAAACTGCACAGAACCAGGCTTGGAATAATACCAGATATTGTTGGATAATTTTAAAATCTATTAAAACACCAAGAAAAGAAATCCACAAAAAATCCTCATGTAGTATATTAACATAACACCATTTGCACCAGTAAGACTAAAGTGAGTCTTACCAGATGAATATTCAGGCAGTGAGGTATCACATTCTGGGAAACCAGAGAAAATGAGTGTGTTCACATGTAATTAAATGCAAAACTACATGTCTTGTGATGTGTTTCCACCACAGAAATAGGACAGAAGCTATCCCAATTCTGAAAACATCAGTAACATCAACACACATTTTTGATATGTTCAGGAGGTATCACATATGAATCTCATGCTACAGATAAAAGTAATGCATGAACCTGATTCTTATTTCACCCGTACTGGTGAGAATAGAAATAACTCCAGTGACTTCAACAGTGTCAAACTTCTTGATCCACTGTTAATAAAAACTGATAAGCCTTTAATTATTAATAACCATCACAGCAGTATTTAAGATAGCTCTATTATTTACTGCTTTAGAGGATGGCCAGACCAGTGATAAACACTGGCCTTTTTTTTTTTTTCCCCAGGGTAAGCATAAGAAGATGAATGAAGAGTAGAAATAAATAATGCACTGAAATTCACAAAGCGGTTTTAGAAACTTTTTTTTAATCTATCGTTGCTAGGATATGGGTCCTTAAAGACTATGCAACTTTTTAAGCAATCTTTTGCTTTTTCTCCAGAATTTCCCCCAGTGCACTGGGCACCTTAAATTTTCTTCCTTCCTGCTTACATAAAAATCACTTTCCACCCAAGCTCATAACACAGGGATGAACCAATGAATGGAACAGAATGCAACAGAGACAGTGGCCTCTCTGTTATTTTTCAGTCACAGCCTAAATGAAAAACCCACCACAAACATCACCTCAGCTATCTTTTACTGCACAACAGGCCAGTTTCTCCTGACAGTTTTCCACTTACCTGTGTGGGTGACTTAGGTCGGGCTGGTGCAGGAGATGCTGGTGCCAGCATATGGTTGGGACTTGCAGTAGGGCTGGGCAGGGGAGAGACCTCCTCTGGTGGTGACGGTGTTTTTGCAATGCGGAGTGGACCTGAATCACTAGATAGAAGCAAAGAAATGGCAAAGGACATTCATATTATGTAGACTTACTACTTTGGCAATTTGATGTCACAGCTGAACTGCATCCCTGGTGTAATGCCAGTGACCACAAAAAGCAGTAGATGAGCTGAGCCACTATAAATGACTAAAATAGAAACTAAATTAAATTAAAACTCAATGATTCACAGCATCAAAGAAATTTTTAATTTTGAGCGACCTTGATTTTTGGAACATCTGTTTACCTGACCACCGTAACTTGACGGAAACAGAGTACCTGCATTTTTTCAGATTCTGTATTTGAAATAATGTTTCATGTATAAGTTTGTAATTATCACAAAATGTGAGATGGAATTATTCTCTTCATTTCATACAGTTCTCAGAATAAAAGTCTCTGAAGATATAAACTCCAGAGGAATGCATAACAATGAATAATGCAAATAATTTTAAAAGCTCAGCGACTTCAGAAAGCTTTCAATAAAATAAAAAACAATCAGGATTATAACAAAAATATTGCTATTTACAGAGACAACTCATCACAACTATAAACAAGCAGCAATCAAGTGACTTCAACAGAGCTCTGCTGACACTAAGAAAAGATCTGATGAAGTCCTCAGAAAGGAGAAAGGACTTTCCTTCCCATGAAAGGACTTGGTGCAAACACTAATGCATATTCAGCTACCTGGAAATGCTGAAAGCTTACAGCTTGGGGAGGCTATAAACTACAGCACTCAATGACCACAGTACTCAGAGAAGGGCAACTCCTACACATCTTCAGGGAGAACAGAAGCACTACCTGATTGAGCAGACCACACCAAAAATGTGTTCCTAATGCTAACACAAGAGAAATTTTTTCTTTGGAAAGCATGGACTTAGCTCACACTCACCACCTCTTTCTGTGGAAGTATTAAAAAAGAAAAAAATAAGCAGTTATTAAGAAATTTCTTTCCCAGGTACAGTATTTGCCTTCAGGATATGGGATCCAGTAGCATACAAGTTTTTGTTTCTTTTCATATATTTCTTTAAAGGAAAGATTAGGTACTGTACTTGTCTAGTATCTACTTCTCATGCATATCTAAGAAGAAAAGCTAGTTTATCTCACAAAGACCTTTTAGAGCAATGGAAGTCAGAATCTATACAGATTTTCACACAAGGCTCCATGAACAGTACAGCATAAGAGAGTAACACAGTAACTAAAAAACAAATGTCCTTTTAAAAAGCATTTAAAAAATAAGTTAAGATCATACCCCATTAACCTATGTCTACTCATCTACTCACTAATGGAACAAGTATTTCTGTGGGAACAAGCACGAGCATGCTGGACATGGTCTAAGAGACATAGATGGACAAAACATCTATTTATTACAAAAATTGCTTTTAGTTTTCCAGCACTACATTGGTTTTCATCATAAGAAAGTTTTCTACAAATCTTTTATGGGAATACAGGCCAGCTTGTGAGTCCATCCTAAAGGGGCTGGAAGTGGTGATGCACTAACTAACAACTTCAGAGGCTGTATGTAAATATATATAAGTATGGGTAAACACTGAACTAATCCAAACCAAAAATTTTGGACACTTTTAAAATAAAGTAGTTCTGAATTTTATATTAGGTTAGAAGGTACAATGTTTCATTTTTTGTTCTTCCAAAGTGAGATCAAAACAAATGTAAAAATAACAGCCATATGTTTGAGGCAGATGTTTGTTTGGTCAGTATTGTTGCTAATCTGAGTCCATTGGCTTGAGGGCAAATTAGCAGAAGCTATAGTATTGTTCTGAATCCTTCTGATGAGTTGGTATTGGCGGGAAGTTTGGGATTTATGTGTTCACGCTAAATATCACTGTTTTGGTAAGTCTCATTGTTTCATAATTTCAGCGTCTTCTGCCTATCACTATTACAGTACTAAGAGATCAAACTATGGCAGAAAGGCTATATTCATTGCAAGCAAAAAAACCTAGACATACTGCACTGGCACCCACTGATCTTAAGAAAGCACCATCTGATTATTTTTTTTTTTTTGCTTTTTAAGACAAGGTTTCTCTTGAAAGTCATTAAAATTACAGTATTTTGTGATATTATTTTTCTTCAGCTTTTATGATGCACTCTCAGATCACATTTCTTGACTTTTCCCCATGAACAGAAGAGATAAAAGCTGACTTACAAAGGCTGGGATTCTCACCTAATTATATGTCTTTAGGGGTTAAAAACACATCTAAATATTTCAAGGCTTTAAAAAAATTACAAGAGTTAGCGATGTTGTTGTAAACTGAGGATCTAAGAATAAACGAGCTACATACTTAGCTGGTGCAAAATAGTGTAACAGTCTACGATGAACTAGGTTAAATTGCAACAGCTGAGAATCTGGCTTTTATCCTTTTTTGACAGGAAAAATAAGTGGGTGATGAAGGAAGTTTTGCACCTTTACCACATTGAGAAGAACTTCATCCAAAGTACCTTATCTACCATCCTGAACAGACACCGGGACCGTGTTGTGTAGCAATTGCTACAAATGCTGTAGGTGGTTACTGTATATACTAAAACCCATAAAGCCTACTGCAATGCAATTCATTAGAAAAAGCAGTAAATTCACCTTGGTGCCCCTTGAATGGTGAAGGCCTTGTCTGCGTGCTGATCTCCCAGCTTCGTCATTACTTCATATAGTTTGTGACATAGCTGTGAAAACAAAACACTTGCCTAAGTTTATATGAAGCACTACAGTCATGGCTAAAAACACACGTGATAAATCTGGTCTGATAACCTGCTATTATATCATCTGATAACTTTGAAACAGCATATAGAGCCTTCCAAAAATACTCAGTGCCACGTATATCAAAAGCCTAAGTGGAAAGCTATCAAAATCCATAGAATTGCAGATAACAGCAGTTCTTCAGAAATATAAGCTGGTTTTCAGAGCTCAAGTTTGTAAGTGTGACTGGCTGCTGCCTAATTGCTGAGCAAGGAGGTTGCCTACAGTTTAAAGCAACATGGGTAGCTGAGAAGATTCATGTTTCCCTCTCAAAAACCTAATCCCAATTCACATGGATCTTCAGTTAAGTGAGCTTTCCAAACAATTTTGGTTCCTATTAGTAGGTTTCTAGATACTACCACTTAGCAAGGTATATCCAAAAGATCCTCATGAAACTGCTTGATTTGCCTAATAGTCACAGATGCAACGTCATATTGCTGACAATGTATAGAGTAGTCTCAGAGGGAATGCTTGACATGTTTTTCTTGTACTGATTAAAGCAATGTGATGTTTAGCAACTGGACACAGAAAAAATACCAAAGGCAACACTATGTTAAAAGGAATGGAGAAGTTATCAAAAGAGAAAGTGAACTTAGTGCTAGAACTGATATTGCATCATAATCCAAAATTTTACAGGCTGCACTTCCCTTAAGGGGAGTACTAAAATGGAAAGTAGAAACAAATACAAAAGCACAAATCTGGATCTAGGGCAAAATACAATAAAAATAATAAAAAATACAATAAAAAATACAAATACAAATCTGGGTCTAGGACAAATTCTCACGTGTGCCTCTGCTAGATTTTTACTGCTGCATTGTAAGATATTTGCCTGCTGTTATACATATCACATAATCCATTATACTTGAGACATTAATTTTTACTCACTAAAGCTATTTCCTTGTGAAACTTGGCTTCGAGGCTGGATACATTTTTGAAGGTGTTCACATAGAAGCCAACTCGTCTATGGAGGATGACACAAAGAAAGGAAAAAGAGAATAAAAGATAGGGGTGGGGGGGCCACAAAGGCAAATCAATTGATTTTTTCCAGAGTACCAGCAACATTTTTGACTTTTATTCTCAGCAAAGCAAATAATTGGTTCAAATGTCAAAATCTAAGATTAATTCATTATTATTTCTGTTTCCATTAAGAACCATCATAATTCACACTGCACAGAGTGAACCAAGTTGAGAGTACTCCACAGCTGGGGAAGAGGCTACAGCTTGTTTTAGGGAAGAGGAAGACTGGAAAGGATGGGCATGAGTGTGACGCAAGCATGCAGAAGGCAAGGTATTCTTGGGCACCCTGTCTCCCATCAGACAGCAGGCAACCAGTGACCAGCAATTTCTCCAGATTTTATTAACAAAAATCATCTTTGACATAAGAAGCCTGCAAAATGTCAAATCAGTGGATTATTTTCTTTCTGAAGAATTGTAATAATTGTAATAACACTAAAAAAGGGGCTCTGAAAGCAATCGCTTTCTAAATTATGCCTATTGCTCAAATTAAATTCTACCTTTACCCGAGACTAGTTACTGGGCAACGCACATGTTGAAATACAAGGGCCCTTACTCTAAATCATTCATATGCAGTTTTACTTTTAGTAAGCCCATAAAATAAGTATCTGGAAGTGCTAAGAAGCTTTTCAACCGAAATAGGCAGAAACACAGTGGGAAAATCCTCTACAGAGGTGAAAAATAGAGAAGATAAAGGATAATTAGAAAAAGGAAAATCAGAGAAGACAAAGGATACTTCATCGACTCACAAGACATTCTCACTCTGGACTATCATTTGTTAAAGAACACAGCACAGTAATGAGATTTTTTTTTCTAATGCCTTTTTTCTCCTGTTCATTTTGACTGCATTTTCTGTATAAACACAATTCATAATTCAACACCTGAAAAAAATGATCTATGCCGTCAAATGCTTTTACATGGCAGACATAGTGCTTAAGTATGAAATTTGTATTTATGATGTAGATATAGCACCATTTTTCTCTTCTTCTACCACTTTGGTAATACCTTATAGGAACTTGGAAAGAACAACTGCCATAAAATCTTTATGTGTTTCTTAGGTTTGTTGTTTTGATACCTTTCACAGAAAAATGACCTGTAAGTAGACTCACTGCAAATCTAGAAAAGCACATGGTTGCTCTCTACAGTTGCTTTTGACAGTGGAAACATTTGATCCTGTTTATTAACAAGCGTTTTTTGTTATTTTTTTCCTTGAATGGATCAGGTATCCATTATCAAGGCATCTGAGAAAGGTTATGGAAGCAGTGGGTTGTAGTCACAATCTGCCATTCTGTGCTTCAACAGAGTTCTTTACCCATAAAATGGAGACCTTTTTGCACCTCAGAATGAAGGTGTGATAACAAATCCTAAGTGCCAAGATACACAGCAAGAAACAACATAAATACACTTAGAATAAATATAATTTTGGTTTATTTGCAGGCATTTTTCCTTTCATTATTTAAAATAAAGATGGGATCTTCAAGGAGCCATCAAATCATTTGCTATTAGCTCATTATAATTCCCTGTTTCCCTTTTGTTTCCCTTTCCTTCCCCCTCCCTTTAGGCCTTCCAGACACCACCTGCTTGGGCTTACCGTGACCACAGAGATGGCAACTCTTCTTGTAAATCAGTGTTAAACTCTTCAAAAACTTTCTGTGCTTTTTGAAATTCTTCTTCTGCCTAAATCAAAATGAAACAGAGTGACTTCTATAATCACTATGACATAGTAAAACCTGCAGAAATTAGTTTTGTGCATTTATTTGGTGGGTCTTTTACAATTTTTATTAACAAAGGACATTACTGTGTCCCAAGCCATGCAGGCCAACACAGGAGTTGCTGTCTCCTCAGTTTCATCAAGAGAAAGTTAGGGGTCAGATAGGATTCATTCATGAAAGAGGCTGTGTGTGCCCTCAACATGTACTAAAATACTTGATACACATTTATGCTTAAGGATATTATTATTTTTATTTCAGAGAGGAAAAAAAAGAGAAACTTCGTGCTCTGTCTCTCATATTTATTATCACCCGAGCTTTCCAAGTCTTCTTCCAGCATCCTTCTGATTGTGTTACCTTGGTAATTCTGCCTTCATCTTTTCTTTTTGAGCTCTGCAGGGCTTCTAGATGATGTCTTGCACTGTCAAAGTCCACTAGCTTTCTGCTTCGTTTTGCAATGCGAGTCTGTAGAGGGGTAGAAATGAAAGTCAGCACAAATAGCACTTTTAAAAATTATTTTACCTATGTTGTCATTTAAGTTTTTGGTGTCTTTCTATTCTCCCTTATCTGCTGTTCACATCTGAATTAATATATCACACAAGAACATGAACATGGTGAAAGAGGCAAACTATTCACCTTATCTTAGCTAAGGAATCCATTTACAGATGGTTTGGAGGGGTTTTCTGTGGGTGTAGGTCTCACAGGTCTTATAAGCAAGATGTCAGTTAGACAAGAGTTGTCTCATTCTCCAGAATAAGTGGACCTATTAAGCTCGTGGTAACACCATCCTTTCCCGTTATATATGTAGTGTGCAAATTTAATAATTTTTTTTTTTCCCCTAGAGTTGGAAAATACTTAAAATATACTTTGCGGTATAGTTGCGCTGGTACCTAACTAAGATAACTGGAGTTCAACATAGAGTAGCAATTCTAATTTACCTACTATAATTCTTTTAAAACTAAAGTCCTTTGATATATACTGACTTTACAAAGCTACATATTATAAGTAAATTCTACACGCTAAGCAGGCATAAGTGCAGTTTGATTTACAAGCAAGTTTAAGATTGAACATCAGTAATGTTGAGATTTTGCAGCTATTTTTAATTTAGCTCCTGATGTAAATGACAAAGGGGATGACTGTGTGATGCCTACTTAATCGTAAACCATCACAAAGCATTTCCAGATATGTCCACGTTCAAATTTAAATGTATCTACCTCTCACCTGTAATGATTCTTTATCCCCAACATTTCATTTAGCAACCATCTCCCTGGACTGTACACCAAGACAGGCATTTGGGATATGCTAGACTCTGTAAAACAGTCTCTCCTAACGTGCATTTTAAAAAAAATATATATAACTAACCAAAAGACAGGAACCATGGCTTAGTTAAGAGATATTTAGATACCCACAGGTGCATCTAGCCAATAACAAAAGGCCTGCTTTTCATGTTGTCATTTGTCTGCTATTTTAACAGCTGAAGAACTTAATGTATCCCTGTTGAAGTTGTAGAGAATTATCCCATACCAAATAAATAAGAGAAGGAAAAAACATAAAAATTTTATCTACAAAGGCTATTTACTTCCAAGTACTACTAAATGAAAAATATTTTTGTTGACCTGGATAAACAATGCAAACTAATGTCAGGGATTTACTTAGAGAACAATGTATTTTACATTGCAGAAGAGAATGACTTTGACCTCACCCATTTTTATTTTTCTTTGCTTGTAATTTCATTTTCTATTTATTTTAAAAGTCAATGGTAATTTTACAAATCGTCCTTTATAGGAAATCATTACTGTACTTTGATATCAGGAAATTGTCCTAGATACGTATCCAAGGTCAATAATGACCCATCCACCAGTTTTTGATGGAAGTCTTCCCAGAGTTCGTCACATTTCTGTAAAGGTAGAAAAGAGGAAAAAAACCACGTAGTAGTTTAATTCCACTGCAAACCTAGAAGAAATACAAATGTAACTGATAAAGATTAATTTTTCTGAAGTTCTAAAATGTTCTTTTAATAAATCAGAGTGCAACTTAAAAGGTAATGAAAAGGAACACATTTACATCGCAAGTTTGCATTCACAACAAAAGAAGATTTAGCTTAGTAAGTAGATTATGCTTTCATTCTTTCAAATAATAATTGCTATTTAAAAAAAAGTATATCACAGATTCAAGGTCTTTCTCAGTGTTTCAGATTCCTGAGAGTCAACAAAGCAAAATCTGAAGCTGCCTTAGTTCTTATGCCTAAGTATGTTCACTGATTATGAACCTTCCTTACAGAGAAAATAAGTACCAAAACAGAAGAGTAAAGAAAACAAAGGAAAAAATAAAGTAGGTTTCCCATCAAATACAAGGATTTGTAACCTTAGCTTTACTTGTGGGTTTTTTTTAAAATAAAAGCTGTGGACACCCATCCTAAGAAAGGATTTTTCCATCCCACACTTTTCGTGCCATTAAGGTGATGAAATGGCTGATGCACAGACAAGAACTCAACCTCTCACGGCTAGAGAACTGGGATGCCAGATATGAACAGATATGAACTATGTCAGTATCAACAGATAAAATAAACAATCTCCCCCAGAAGCTACAGTGTTTTTTCCCAGTCCATTTTGCAGCTCTGCGGTAGACACCTCTCATGGTTTTCCATTTTTTCAGAACATGCTAATGCAGCCGATGTGACAAGGACCCCGCGGGGAGCAGAGTGAGACTACTTGCCAGAAGCAAACCCTGTCACACAGAGGCATAGCGCTCGAGGTCCTAGGTTCTCAGCTGAACAAGTCATTAGCACATGTTAAACATCCTGATCCCCCTTTTCTTAGCACACTTGAAAAATCACTAAACTCCCTCCTTTGATGGGAGGGAAGCTAAAGGGGTGAGCGCTGCTCTGTAGGGCTGTCTTCCTCACTGACAAGTCTGGAAAGCTATTCCCCAGTATTTCTTTTATCATGAGCTACTGTAGGATATATTATAAATGCTGTGTGATGCCAGCATTCAGTTCATTCATTTCCTACCCTAACAGAGTCCCTCATGAATTATTACAATCTATTAATCATGCTTAAAAAAATATCTCATTTATGAACACAATATTTAATCACAGTGGTCTACAGAGCAGCATAGCATTAGATCATAGCACGCAACTGCCAGTCTGGTGCATTTGCCTTTATATCTTGCTGATATGTATTTTGGACAAATTAAAATCTGAAAAGCTAAAATTCTGAAAGCTAATGGGATCAAAGGTCATTGCAGAAGAGTCCTTTAAGCCATCATTTTTCCTGTCATACAGAATAAGGTCATTTAGGTGGATCCCTTTTGGAATGATAATTTATACCCAGGGACTCCACAAGTACATCATTCTTTTTCCCTCTAGATTGAGGAATATATAAATCTGCATTTGTGATTATGTACGGAAAAAAATCAGGACCAGAGATTTTGTAATATTGCCCAGATGAGTCTTTTATTAAAAAGACACATTTATCATTTATTTAAGAGCTAGATTTTGGTCCTTTCATACACAATTACAAATTTTTGAGTGTAAAATGTCATAGCCTAGAGATATAAGATGAGGCACTACAACCAGATGCAGCAGGAGATCTTCCAGCCGTTTGATCTAAAACAATATAAACGTATGGCATCTTAACTTAGACTGTTTGGAAGTTGGCTGCTTTTAAAACCAAAAATATGTTATGCCCTCAGCAGCAGGGAAGGGTAGAGGATGAAAAGCAATCATTACACAGATTTGGAAAGACTGCTCTGTCTTCCAGTTTCCTGTTAATTGTGCTATCCAGAAGGCCTTGCAAACTGAATGTCAGGCGGTGAAAAGCTGCACTGATAACAGTTTGCGCTTTCTTGACACCAACAGCATATTTACTAACAGACTTCCCTCAGAATTAAGGCTGTTTAAACAGGCAATTCAGAGCACCTCAAGTCAAATTCCTGCAGTTTCCTCTAGAGAAATCTAATAGCTGGAGGAAGCTAAAAAGGCTAAAATGAAGAACATCTTGCAGCCTAATTTGCCCTCAAAATCCATATTCTTGTCAGTGAGAAGCAAGTGTCCCATCAGAAATCATGTTTAGCGCCACTCATTCAACAGTTGTTACACAGAACACAAGGCTAGAGGATTTGATAATTTTTAACATTCAGTTGTACTGGAATATCAACTGTAAATCTACACGTAAGACACCTTATACAAACTTGTCAATAAGTTGCTATCAGGATTAATTTTGCTCTCACTGATGTTGACCTCAGTGGGAGCTTACATCAGCTAGCTCATAAAGTGGACACTGCAAATGTGTAGGAAATGCCTTTTACAAGACCAATAATTTGCACATTCAGAAAATGAGACTTAACACACAACAAAGAATTAAGGGGAATTTAGGAAGTACACTTCTCCGCAACAGCTCAGATTAATCCATTTGGAGCCAAAATATTTTTTTCCTCTTCCCACACATCTTACCTCTCCAATCATTTTCACGTCTTCTCGTCCATACCAGTCTGGTTCATATACTTCATGAAGAGACTCTGTAAGTTTCTTTGAGGCATCTTGCATTCCTACAATTAGACAGAAGGAGGCATATAAAACTGCAGATTACAAGAAGCAGTTGCTAAATATCTTTATTTTGACCCACATGTACCCACTATATTATCCCCCCTCTGGCACGTTTAAAATAATGTTTTCAAGAGCTGAAACAAAATCTTCAAAAAATTTTCACCCAGGCAAATGAGAAATGTTCCTCCCAGAGGGATTAACCCATATTTGTATTCAGGAAAAAAAAAAGCTTCTATCAGATTAGGGATTCAATTTTCTATTTTGAACTAAACATATGTGAACATAAAGAACAACTTGGTGGGTAGTCCTACCCATTAAAAAAGTGTAATACCCAACTGAAAGACTGTCACTGAAAAGACAATGCAATAACAATCTGCTTTTGGTTATTCCCAGCTATTCCACCCTACAAAACAATTTCCTACCCTGTCTCTAATGAGTACCATGCCAACTTATGTGAAAGAGGCATTCCCAGGGTGGCACGGTTAAAATGGCAGAGATTTATGGGAATTTCTCGCTATAAAAAGGGACTTTAGAGAAAAGCTAGAAGAGATCTGAGCTAAACAAAAGTACTTTCCAGGGCAGGGGAGGTTGCACACAGGTAGAATATACCTCAGGAATTCGCTGTTTCCTTGTTTTCAAAGATACCCAAGTTTCAGGATCTTTCACATGTTAAGTGACAGTGATTGAGCTTGGTATTCTTGTGCCCACAATAATGATGGTGACCTAAAGGTGTGTTCATAATGAAGCAAAGGACTGGCAAGAGCTGAAACAGTGTCTAGGGAAAAGAGATGTCTAACATGAGGAGAGTGCTGTAACAAACCTTGTTCTGTGAAGAATGATTACCTTGTAGGCTCCCCTAGCAGATTTGAAAGTATGTGGTGCCCAGAACATATTACGCTTGCAGCAGGTAGGTGTCTAGAGAGAAGTGTGCTCAGCCAAACTGCATCAGTAACCTCTTGAGCTCTTGCCACCACAGATGAAACAAAGTATGGGACCATTGATCATTGTAATTCTAGAGGAACTGGCTTAAATATGAAGAGACTGGCTTAAATGTTATGAGAAAGAGCCTAAATTTATGACCTCAGCAAATTACTGCCCCTAGTGAAGGCACTGGTGTTTGCCTTTCCATTTTGATGGAGCACCAACACATTACATGTTGAATATTGTTCTGAATTCAGTGAATTCAAACTGATCTTCACCTAAGATGCTAAGAGTCAGTTCCGAATCAGTAATTTTAAAATGCTGACTTTATTCCAGAATCTGAACAGCACTGCTAATGTTTTTACCTAGCAATAACTTTAAAAAGAAAAAAGCCAAATACATTTTTTCTCTAGCCAAAGTCTGTTTGCTGTAGCACATATGTGCTGTCTTGAAAATAACTCTAGTGTGATCTTCAGAATTAACGGCTCGGTGGCTGAATTTAGGAACAACAGCAATATTTCTGCATTTTCTGCACAAAGAAATGTTCATGAGTGGAAGAGGAAAATTCATTTGAAATTTGAATGTCTAGAAAAGCAGACTTGACCTAGTCAGTAGGTGCTCTATCATGCACTTCAAAAGATACATTTGAAATATGACAGGAAAATAAATGCACTAATGGTGGTCTATGGAATGGTTACGATAGTACAAAAGATACTGAAAAATCTGAAAGGAGATCTGTCCAAGGACCCTGGGTTCAAGGAAGAAAATGGCTTGAGAAAGAGGGAGAAAAAGTACAAAGGAAGACCCAGTTGTCAGAAGGTATAAGCTTTCAACCTTAAATCAAAAGGTGCTGGGCCAAAATAGAATACTTGATCTCTTCAGAGATTGTCTTGGTGCTTTTCAGTCTTAGAACTCAGCTTCAGAGAATTGGTATAGCACAAGAACTTACAACACATTTCTTCCTTTTCTCCATCATGGTTAATGCTAAGGATGATATATCACCAACTAAGAAATGGTTTTTGAATAAAGGGGCTTTTTTTTTAACCTAGAATATGATGGATTACAGTAAAATACAGATCATCATAGAATGGCCTAGGCTGGAAGGGACCTTAGAGATCATCTAGTCCAACCTCCCTGTTTTGGGCAGGGATGCCACCTCTCGACTAGACCAGGCAACACATGGGGACTGAGCGGGAATCGAACCCGCGACCTCGGTGTCGGTCATTGTTGTCAGCACCGCGCTCAAACCACTGAGCTAACCGGCCCCCTAGATGGTCTTTGAATATTTTTCCAGGTGTCGTGCTTCATAAGGCTGCTTCTGTCCATGCATAGACTACATCCCTGCTCACATTTGATCCTTTCTGATACCTGAACTTCTGCCCTTAATCCCAGGGTGTGATAAATCTGCCATGTACATTCCTGTGTCTGTCAAGCAGGCTGACACGGCTGCTCATTAATCCCTCCTGCAGCTTGCACTAAGCTTGGTCACAGACCAGGCTTGCGTAGAGCATCTTTTCCTAGATAGACCTTCTTTTATAAGTACTACAAGACTCAGGCATATATTTGCCTAAAAGACACTTAATATCCCCTGCTTGAGTCATACCAAAGTTACACCAACTTTTCTGCTTTTTTTTTTTCCCAGCTCCAAGAATCTGGTAATCCTCCATCCTACCACATTCCTGTAAAAAAATATCAGTGAAATCCAGCTGTAGCGTGAAGCAAATGGCCATTATAGTACTTGGCTTCTTCAGTCAGGGGCTTCAGTCTATAATTTTCACAGGCCAAGATCAGCCCCTCCTACTGCATCTATGTTAGGTTTACTGCAATACTCCAAGTGAGTGCATAGGTAAATACCAATCCAGTGGTTTCCTATTCTTTTTCATGTCTGTGGGCATAAACTTACAACATTCAGTGATTTTTCACATAGAATTCTTATGCGCTGATACCTTTTACGCATTAATCAGCACTAAAGAAGATCAGAGTCTCAGCCATAGACTGCAGGCTGTCTCACTGAGCTGTTTTTAATTGCCATCACTGAGAAAGAGAAATTGTTTAAAGCAAGTCAATAAAGCAATGCAAAATGTGGGAGGAATTTTCACTGCTGATCAACAGTTAGAAATTCATATTTAATATCAATTGTTTCATTTAGTACCACTGCTTCTTGGTAATTGGGTCATTTATTTATTAACTACAAATACTGAAATAATTGAATCACTTAAGAAAAATTATGTTAAATAACCTAGTTACTGAGTCTGAGGCTCTCAGATTAAATCATCACTCTCCCTGGAACCTCAGAAGGCTCCTAGACTCCCTCACATAGTGGGAGATCCTGGGGATCCTGGTGCTGGAGGTGCAGTGACATTCCCATTAAGCACGTTAGAGAGGCAGAGGGTAGGTAACTCTCTGCCATTACAGTTCCAATGCACTCAAGCTCCCATGGAGAATGAGACTGTCCCGGGACTCCATGTTGGCCAAAGGACCCATATAGTGTGGGGCTTCCTCACTGCCCAGCGGAGAAATCTAAGCTTAATCATGGAGAAATGTAATTTTCCTGATGGAGTGATGCACCTTGGTCTGGCTCTTAATATTTAATTATCTGAGTAGGGAAGAGAGCTTCATGTGCAGTTCTCCAGTGAAATGATCTATCTTCCCATAATTGTCACAAGTAGGCTGCAAAACTGCTTACAGACCTCCAAAGTCTCCCCTTCTCTTCCTGTAGACCAGCTATTATTTCTCACTACATTAAGCCAACTGAAAAGTATGGTGCTTCTTTTTCGTGATGCAGGATTCCTTTTTACCTCTGTCATCTTGCCACCTGCATGCAGATACAGGTTTATATCTCCCCATTAGCACCGTTACTTGCAAAGACCTCAGGGTAGAGAACGGGAGGCTGATTTAGGGTTTCTTTAACAATCAGCCTATAAAACTCTTTGAGTCACCTACAGCTCTCAAAGGCTTAAAAAAAAAAATCACGAAGCAGAGAACCCAAATACATGTTGCCAAGGAGACTGGAAGAGACAGAAGATTATGGCATGAGATGACTATAGCTATAGGGGATAGTACATAGTCTGATCAGTACAAACACCACCAACACATAGCAAACATTAAACTGTTACGCAGATGAAATAAAACAGCACATAAAAATCATTCGTAAGTGTAACAGCTTTATAAAATGGTTTCTCTGAGTCCTTGAGTAACCAGAAGTAAGGATCAAGATCCAGCTAAGACTAAGAAGCACCTCTGAATGAGAGGAGTCTGAACACAGCAAAAAATTTTTAAGAATGTGTGATACTAAACCTCAAATTGTCAAGTATACTAAAAGGAAGGGATAGACAGTCATAAGAAGGCTCAACTGAACATTCCTTGCTTAAATTATGCCTTAATCTTGTAATTCCAGCTGTCAATATCCAGTCACTCAGAAGTCATGCAGTGAAATGAAACTTGTTACTGAAGTCCACAACATATCAGCTTCATAAGATGCTTTTGGTTAAATTGGCTATTTTGACAGTTATTGAAAATCTTTAAAAAGAACTGCTTTTCTTGCATGTGTAAGAGTACAATGATGTCAAGTACATTATTTTCCAGTTATATGATTGGCTCCCTGAAAAATTACTCCCTGATGATAGTATCTTTGCAAGGCTTAGATGTCCTAGGTGCAGAAATCCCACTTCAGTGCCTAAATATGGGGCTTCTTGTGCTTTTGTGCATTACCATCCCAAAATCTTTTAATGATGTCAGTCCTTCAAAGAATAGCAACAGAGAGACTTGTAGCAGTTGCTGAAACTGATTCTTCCATCTAAAATCTAGGAAGGTCTTTGCTACCATTTCAGGTTGCCCGCTTACTCCACAGCACAAAGGTGCGCCAACACATCTGCCAAGGATGTCTATGACTGGATCTTTTAAGCATAATGAACTGTTAGCAAGCACTTTTCATTCTCAGCAAGAAAGTTGGTGCACATTATTTTAAAATATGGACTTACAGGCTGTAACTAGAGAAAGATGCGGAACAGAAAAGCTTGGTAAAAAAGGCAAAACTTGCACAGAGAAAAAATTCACACCAAGTTAAAAACAAAACCGGGTGCAAAGAGTAGCACACTAGACATTAAACCAGCAAAATGACAACAAATGCACAGAGTACTAAGAAAGGAGAAAGAGAGAGAGAGAAATAAAATGAACCATGGAGAGGAGGATCATCACCAACACAGAAAACAAAGCAACAGGTAAATGATCAGCCTATGTGAGAGAAAAGCCATCTGGCCAACAGCTGCTTCTGAGTATCCATCTCATAATGGCTGTGGGGAAGGGATGACTGAAAAATAAGACAGTAAAATCAGCATCCAGTGGGTCCCCAAAAATGACTGACACTGAAATTTCCTGCAAGAACAAAAGAAATTGTGCAAAGTCCAACAAGGCAAAATATTTCTTGCATGGTATAGGGTTTTCCTTGCCCAGCCTATCCAGCAAATAACATGTGGTCAAAGACATTAAGCTACTGCTTTGCTCCCCATTTTACAATTCTCATTTAATAGAGCCTTTGCCCTGCCTCTCAACAGTTGCTGAAGTTTTATTAAGACACAGTGATTTCCAGGGATGTTAATACTCATTTGTAACATTTTCCTTACTGGGCTAGAGCCAGGTTAAAAATATATACATACATATATATTTAACTCAAGAAACCATTCCTATTAGTCATCAACTCTTATTCCCTTCCCTTTAGCACCTGGCCTCCAACTCCTCCAGAGAGAGGCAGTATAAGAAAGAGAACACTCTGCATATGATTTACAAATGTCTAGTAGGATTTAAATAGCTGTTTACTCCATCTCTGATATCTAAGCGCTGACCAGTGACCTTCTTCTACCTAGATTTTCAATGTAGTATCAAAAGAGTTCATATTCAGTTTTTAAATTCTAAAAAAAGTAATAAAAGGATTAAGCAGTCAGAAATACATGAGAAATCTTGAGGAAGTGATGTTTTGGAGGGAGATCATCATTCAACTAGTAACACCTGTAAATGCTACAGTTGTGATCAAGCAATCCCTTGCCTTGTATGTGATATATTTCATATTCTAGCACTTGTAAAGATGAGTAACAAGTTGTGTAGAATTTATAGGTGCTCAAAACTCATGCAATGTGAGAATCCAGGCAGTGGTCCTGCACACAAAGGACAACCAAGAATGAGCCGCGCATGCAAGACTGTACACATGAGTTGACATCAGCAACAGGCCAAAGAGCCTGTGATGGACCCAAAACAGAAATGTAGTCTACTAATGACAAAAGCAGTATTACTTTTATTTGTCTTTGCGTACCTTAAGCAAGCCTACTTGTCTCATTTTTTAAAAAAGTTTGCTTTATAAAAACACTACATAAAACTTAAAAATCACCTTTGATAGCTGCTAAATATCCTCTCAGTTCTCTCTGAAGCCTGGAACCCTCTGCCTGGAAAAGAAAAACACAAAAAAAAATCACAAAAAGCAAGAAAATGAAACCACATTTCAGCTGTATTTTATGCCTTAAAATATACACTGTATGTCAAAACAACAAAAAGCAGTTTCAGGGGCTGTTTGATGCATGGTGTCACATATTACAAGCACGGTTCATGCAAAAAAGGTGGCCTGGCCAAGATTCTAGGCATAGTGTACTCTCTAGGCTAAAATTTCTGAGTTTATTTTATCAGTCATCTGCACAGGTGTGTTTTACAGCCAAGGTCCAGTTCAAGTCAGCCTGGCCAATGTCCTAACCTGAAACTCAAAGAAGTATAATCAAGAATGGTGCATCTCCACTGGAAACCACTCAGATAAAGCCAGTTTAGACTTGCAGAGAATCCATGCCCTTACATAAATGGCTTATTATTTTTGCAAGCAGTTTTCCAAGTATTTTAACATGTTAATATTTTGCAAGCAGATAACTACTAAAAACCAATAGCATTAGTTATTTTGTTTAGCTTGGTCAGTGCATCTTGCAGTCTGCTGTGAAATCTTAACCACTTGGCAAATACACCACAATGGACTTCTTAATCTTATTCAAATAGCCTTTGAAAAATGTACCAAAAAAATAGACCAAAAAAAAAAAAAAAGAATTGCTTTACTTTATCTCTAATTGTCTCACAAGTTGGACTTCACAGTTCCTAGAAGTTGCAAAAAAAATATTTGCTGCTATAGCACATATTCGATTGCTTAAAAAGCCGTTGTCCAGAACACCTTCAATATCCTGAACATTTTGGAAACACTCCATATTATTAGTTCCCAATATCCTTCAAATTATTTAAGCAATTGGAAACTATAGGAATAACCAGCTTAAAATCGCATTTTGTCACATGCAGTTAACACCATATGGTAAAATCAGCCACAAAATATGACTGATTGCTTTGGAGTTTCTCTCATTTTTTTCATGTGAAAGTCAGAACTCAAAAGGGTACATGTGTGAACACTTTAGAAGACAGAGTCTCAACTGGTATAAGGTGTTATAACTCCACTTAAGCCAAAGGATTTCTGATGTCATTAAAAGATTTGCATCAGCGACAGCAAAGCTCAGAGCATTTAGACACAGAGGATCATAAGAAATTCAGGTTGAAAGGGAGCATCTGGGGCTTAGAAACCATCTACCTGCAGCCACATTAAATCCCAATGGTGGTTTTCAAGAAATAGTTACTTGGTTCACCAGAACACACACTGCAACACATTAATCAAGTCCATTAATCAAGTAAATTCTGAGCACAGAAATAGAACCACCAGGATGATGTCTGAGAAGCTGCTGAGTAACAGCAAAAGCACAGGAGCACTTGGCCCACCAACTTGTCTCAGCTTGAGACTGCATTTGATGCTCCATGGAAAGGCAAATTTTTCCTTTATTTCAGGAAAGGACCAGACAGGCACAGATTGAGTAGTCAGTGGATTAAATCTCAGGCTTAATTACTTAAAAGCCAACAGGAACTTCTGAAAGTAGTGGCAGCTTGATGTGTCCCTTAAAAAAATATATACATGCACACCTTGATACGGTTTAGTAAATAGTACTACCCTAACACACCATGACAACCTATTTAATCATTCTACATAACACAGTATCATCCTAAAACACTTCTGAAGGTGAAATTTTTTCTACCATGAAATTTTTTCTTCCATGCTAGCATGGAAGGCAGATGACAGAAGATGTCTGCTTTCTGTAGAGCAAGGCCTTAAGTGAACGACACCACCACAGAGGAAAGGAGATTGAACCCAGGGACAGAATTTCCTGGTCTCAGATCTGAAGAGGATTAAACGTGTGGCAGAAAGAGGAGTCAAGTTCCCCTTTTATGCATGCCAGTCACCTCCCAGGAGGATCCCTGGTACTCTGAGAAGTCACACAGAGGTATAGTAACTATCTGTCCAATTCATGGTCTGTGCATTTGTGGTGAAATCCGGAACTAGATAGAGCAACTTGATTTTTCATCATGGTCCAGTTGAACACGTGTCCATATGATAACAATGTTCAATTTTTAAAGAATTTCACGTTTCAGGAGCAGCAAACTGCATCTTGAAGGCTCAGAGCACTGTTAGCTGTCCTCATGTTCAGCAAAAGGTCTATGTTTACTCAGACACACGTCATTTTGTTACTGGGACTAACTAGCAGAATCACAAATGGCATGTCAGAGACATAGACTGCTCAAACACTTTGCTGCGCAGTTTTACGGCTGGTTCCCTAAACCACTGTGAGGTTTGTTGTGGTTCATTAGCATCATGCGTCATCAGCAACTGCAGCTCAGGAAAACGTATAAGAAAAAGTCAAAGCAGTAAAAAGAAAAAAAAGATGCAAATATTTTGCCATATGCGCAGTTATGAATTCTGACAATTCATTGAAAAGAATAATTTTAACACATGTCTCCCTCAGTCTAGGTTATTAACAGGTCACAAATCACTGAAATATCTAAGCAGCGTAAAGCCATATGAATTTTCTTGCATTAGCAAACGTTGTATGACACATGACATTAAAGTATCAAAGGGCAAGGGCCAGCCCCCACTGAATTTGAGAATCTCTCAGTTTCAATGATAGCAGAATTAGAGCCTTCTGTAAAATCCCAGAAATAAAAATTTGTATCAAAAGCACATAGCCCTGTGAATTCTGCAAAACGTGCCTCTGGTCTACACATTTTGCTATAGTAAACTGACTGTTAGTGAAGTTAACACCTAACAGACTAGTTAATATTTGCAGAATGAAAACACTGCATTGCTGGTTTTGCACATCTTGCAAACTGTGACATACAAGTTTTAAAAAGCACTGTTTTAAAGATCACCACATATTTAGTATTTCCCCTTCTCTACATTTACTGATGCACTCTTCCTACTTTCTGGTCTATCAGACGAAGGCATCTGCTGACTCTGAAACCACTCCTCCAACTGTCTTCATTAAGGCCATCAATTTTGTTAATTAAGGTGCAGCTTCTTGAAGAGTGATGAAAAATAGGTGTCATTTTGCAGATGCTGTGCTCCTCTGAAACAAGATTTCCCAAGAAAGCACTGATGCTTCCTTTATAATTTCATAATTTCTTTTATTTGCTCTACATGAGACAGCAAAGTGAGTCAGAGCTTCGTAATACGCAAGAAAATTCCAGAGAGAAATCTCAGTAGCGTACTTAATAATAAACTTCTCACAATTACGTTGTTTGATAACAGCAGGCATGTTCTCACCAGAATCCAGCACTAGAAATCAGTGCTCTTTGGCTCAACTGCTCAAACTCAAAATGCAAATTACCAAAAACCTGTCAGGCAGATTAAACTTCCCATAAGAGCAAGGGAAGTATGTTAATAATCAAAAAACCCATCCCTCATTCGAAATATCAGTACAGCTCTCCACAAGCATGTCCCAAACAACAACTCGGTACTCTGAACTCTGCAGCACACAGTCAGCATTGTTTGCAGATCCCTTTTGCTACTGACAGGTTTTACTACGTGGTCAGTATTATAGAGCTAGTTAAGACACATGCACCCAGTGAGACAAGGAGGCTCAGTGCTTCAGGATCTTTTCATCTACAGCCACAAGTCTTACACACTTTTGCAGTAGCATTAAGCCTTTTCATTACTACTGATTCTTGTGTATGTTTCATTTTAGTTTTCTTCTCAAAGTCTAGTATTTAAACATATTTTAGCACTGGAATTAAGACAATGAGGGCCATAGCACTGTTGGCTCTAATACTAACATGACAAAAAAATAATGAGCAAACCCATAAAAAATATAGTTTGTGTCTTTTGCTTCCTGATGCATTAAAAAATTGTTACTTCCACTCAGAAATTAAAGGCCACCCTGCGTCCATGAAAGCTGGAACTGGATGACCTATTTGCCAGTCATCATTTATTCACAGCTTTCTAAGTAGAACAGAAGAGTTTTTCTATCATGTCACATAAAGGCTTTAAACAGAATACATCTTTACAGGAAAGGTCAGCACAGCATGTGCTTGATACCAAAACCAAATAAATGCCTCCGCTTTAGGTGAGAGTCAAAAACATTGTCAATGTTGAACCTGGAGCATAAGTTACTTAATAACCTGCTCCATAGAAATGCAAGACAGATAATTATTAACGCAGCTCTAAGTCTAATGCTGGAATTTTGTCATTCCATCACTAAGACATCAGGGAAATAGCTCAAAAGAAAGGATTTTTTTGTCACTGGAAGTCATCCTTTATTGCAATGTGCAGTTATTAGCCACAATGTAAGGCAGCATTGTCTCTATCTTCAGACTTATACTAGTATTTACTAGTAGGTCTTTTAGGACACTCAGAAGTATGAATAAAAAGGACTACTGCATTAAGTGAAGCTTAAAAAAAATATAAGGCTATTAGTACAAATCCATAATTCACTATGAAATCGATCTGCATACCAGAGTATTCTATTTTATGATTTTCCAGTCTTCTTATAGTTCTTAGAACTGTGCCCCAAATTCTGGAATCTTTATCTTAAAGAAATACATTTCTTCTTTTCCCTTTCTAAAAGCTGTTTTGAACCATTTGTCTACTGAATCACTTGAGAAAATTGAGTTTGCAGTCTTGTCTGGAAACACAAAGGCTTTTGGCATCCCAGTACCTGCCAGGACAGCACCAAATTTGTAGTCCAGGCACTGAGACAGCTCAAGAGGACTCTCTAGGGGAGAGGTTCAGCTGCCAAAACATGTCTGTTGCTGCTGGAGATGCCATGGGGTGCTCAAAAGGACCGCAGAGCCAACAGGAATGATGGAGGTCTGTCTGTCTGATAGAGGATGTGCCTCTGTCTGGAGCAACATTTAGGGGCCAGCTGGGACACTGTGACGCACATCTTGTGCCTATGCGTAAGTGGTGAATCTCATCTTGGGTATCTTAACTCATCAGTGGCACATCTGATGCAAAAAGAGCACTTCAATAAATGCTGTCTTATAGAACAAATTTAAGACAATGTTGTGCCACAGCTGTAAGGGAGCTAAGCAAGCTTGCATGAAACGAAGATCTGGCCAAGATAAACCTTTTCAGGACCCATAACAAATATACCCAATGAGCACGTCTTACTGTGAGGCACACATTAAGTAAAGCAGTCCAGAGGAGCAGGTTCTGCTCACTCATTGACAGCAAAAAAAAAGGCTCTTCATTTTCACCCAATTCTATAAACTAGCAATAAAAGCATTTGACATTTTACTTTATTCTGACAACATGACATAGAGAGCTGCTTTTGTAGTAGCAATTGCTGTATCTCCTTGTGCACATATACAATACATAATGAATTAAACACTAAAATTTTTTAACTGTAGTTTGTAAAATAAAAAAAACTCATTACATACAGAAAAATAATGAGAGGTAAATATGCATAGACATGAAATAGAATATTGATCTCATACAAAAAGGAAGCAAGAACTGTGAATCATTAAAATATCCTGGGGGATAAGGAAATTGCTACTTAACTTCCTGTCACAAAAAGAAAGCCTAAAATGGAGTTGCCTGAACACTAGAATAGAGATGAAATTTCAGGCAAATCCCCAGTGAACTTGATGCTTTCACAGTTGAGAGAAATATGCAGGAATTTTCTTTTTATTCCCCCTCTCTGAACTTCAGGGTTGATTAAGAGGTTAGGCACATCCACAATGATCTATGCAGAGAGAAACGGTTAAGCCTCAAGGAATTATATGCAACACACTGAAAATTTATGTCACATCGTGCCATATATTTTAGGTAAGTTTTGTTTGTTCCACAAGTTTTGATTTAGAGTAGCCATTTTCAGTTTACAGCTTAAGTGGAAGGTAAATAATAGCCATATTCACTGCAAAAAATTGATTATGTTTTTACTGTTGGTTTCAGTTCCAGCAGCTTACTGCCTCTCAGAGGGAAAGTCCTGGGGCTCTGCAAAGTCACGGTGCTCTGTTCTCTCTAGACACGGGATGACTCAGTTTCTCCATGGTGATTCATCTCGGTAATTCAAGTTTGGGCTGTCAAGTTCAGAAGGGGCTCTTATTTAGCAGTATTCAGAAAGAGATGGGAACAGATCACTGGGGAGTCTAAATGAGATTTTCCTACAGATAGATTTGCTGGCCGTATCCTTACACATAGCCTTCTGCTGAGTTTGGTACATACCTACTATCCAATCTGCTACTCGAGCATGTTGAGATTTCAGATTTTCAATGACTTGCTTCCAGAGTAATGAGCTAAGTTCTTTCCTTTCTCCATCCTTTCCCTGAGCTGAACTGGGAGCCCCCATTTATAATCTTTGGAGACTAACAATAAAAATATCATTCTATACTTAAGACCAGTTGACCTCCCAAATGGTGCAGGCTCAATAAGGCAGAGAAACAAGAAAAATTCACAGCTTTTTCCAGCTTTCAGCTTACTAGGATCCCCACTGCCCAAGTGGCAGCACCAGCTGCTACAAACAACTTACGAAGAGACACAGAATTGAAGTGACAGTCTTCCTCAAAATCAAACATAGGTATATTAGTCAAGGAAGAGAAAAATCACTGCTATGTGAGATTGCAAGAAACAAAGTCAAGTCTAGACTGCCTCTCAGACTGCCTCTGCCAGAGAAAGGACTGATTAGGTCAGCAACTACCACGGAGACAAATAATCCTGGAGAGAATTGCAAAAGATGGGACAGCCTCTAACAAGGGCAGTTCCGTTTGCAAGCCACCTGCATGGCTCACATCAACAGTTTGGTGGACCTCAGCACAAGGTGCAATCACCCAGACTGCCTTTTTATTCTTTAATATACATATTTTATTTTTTCTTTTCTGAAGGCTGTAGAGTTGCAGAGACAACCTTGAAAGCAGAACTGAACAGAAACCACAAAGAGATGACTGCTTGAGTTCACAGAAGCAAGCAGTTCTGCAAGGTATTAAGCAGTAGGAGTGCTAATTCAGATGCACTTTGTAATGCTTCATATATTTGCCCTGTTAGTAAGTTGTAGATCAAAGCACGGAACAAAACTAAGAAAATTTAAGCAATTTATTTACCTTTTATTTGTGAACATGGCAGAAACAGTGCTTTTGTAACTTTTTCTCTGCCTTGTATTTGAAGAATTGAGCATAACAGAACTTGAGACTGAAACCAGCAGAGCACAGTAAGCACATGTGATTAGTTTAAGAAACGTACAGTCTCTCCCATTTGGTGTGCCAGGGGACCTAGTCAAATCTGCCTATGTCCCTCTGCACTCCCTCCTCCCTACCCAATTCCTCCCCTGGCCCCAAGTCACATTTGTGCCTGGATTTAGCATCATGCAGTTCTTGCACAGTTCTTGATTGTTTGTTGTACATCAAAGAAGGGGGAAATAAAAAGGAAGTAATGCTAAAACCCTCCTTAGCCCTCAGCAAGACTTTCAGCTGAAAATCACCATTACAAAAAATTCTTGGTAAAGGTCAGAAAAAACAAACACTTGAGATGTAATTTTGCTTAAAAAGATTTTTTTTCTCTTTCATATTTCCTTTTGTAATTTCACTAAAAATTTTTAGGTAGAAAAAAATCCCACAAAACTTTTTCTTCATAGAGATGCTCCAGCTGCTTCTTCTGCATCCAATAAGAACCTTACAGATGCACCTTATTTCTAGTGACAGTTACTAGCTGAGTAAACAGCTGTGATAATGACAGCAAGGATAGGCAGGAACATAAGCACAGTCAAGAAGAAAGAAATTATAGCCCAGCATATTTTCATCTTTGCGGAAGAGCAAAGATCTACACAACAGCACAGTGGCTCCTGAAACGTCCCTCCCTTCTACAATGAGAGAGGAATATAAAAGCTAAGTGACCATAAGACACAAAAGAATTAATAAGCATCCTAGCAGTCAGGATCTAGGGTTTCTGTTTACATGTAAAGAAGTGCATGTGGTAGATCTAACTGATTCAGGGCAGAAATTGCAAACACTGACATAAGCTAATTTTTACATCTTCTAAAATGCGTGAGATTAGTTCTTCACCCTTCAGTGCCTTTCTGTATGAGGTCTAAATGATAGCTCACAAAAAGATACAACAGATAACTCAGTTCATACTTCCATAACAAGACAATTTTCTTGGTGGTATTACTGCAGCTCATGATAGGCATGAATTTGTACTAGAAAGCTACTATATAATTAATCACAATTAATCACCTCTGAGCCCAAAAGTCTGTCCAAGAAAGTAAGGAGTAATTGAGGTTAGAATTTAGCATTGCATTGGGAGTAGATTACAAACTCTTCAGGGCACCTTTGTTTTCATGTGTTGTATTTTACAGCATTAAGAGCAATTGAGCACTGCTCCACAGCAGTGCCTCACCAGCACCGCCATCACAGCCCCCGGTGCCAACAGGGAGAGGAACAACACACAGCAGGCTGAAACTATTCATCTGGTCACTTCATATAAAATTGGTATTATTATATACCCCTCATGAAAGCAATCCACAAAATGAAACCAGAAAAATACCTCGCTCCTTTGTAAGAAGGTGAATACAATGCTGCATTTAGCTGGGTTTGGGTTCTGTTCTCAATTATGCTGTTGAAAAAGCGCCATCACTTTGTTGATCCGAATGAGTTCAAGTGTGATGGTGTTACACAGAATTACAGTATGTCCTTTTTTTTATGTGTATTTCTTAACCCTCTGCATGCACAAATCCAACTGTTTGAAAACAACAGAACAAAATCCTATATCCCACTCCAAAAAATCTTCTTGCTTGTTACCCTGTAGCACCTTCTTCAAAGTCAGCAATTTCAAATAGATTGCATTTTTCTTAAGACACAACTAAAGGAACTGAAAAAGTAACTGACCTCTTGCCGCTTGAAATTCTGAACATATTCTTCAAATTGTTCATCTTTTGTTTCATCTGCTTTTCCTAGTTTTTGAAGTACCTATATTGAAAAGAGTAAGAAAAATGAATAACTTAATATTTCTGCAACACAACAGAACCAGTGCTACTTTAAACGTTTCTGTCTTGTAGTTAGGCTTAAAAACTATTTTACTTTTGGGGGTGTTGCATGCACTACTGTTTGTGAAATTCAGTTGGTAAAGTATTTTGTCAAAATAAAAAGGATAAAAGCAGGAGTATGGTGTGTGTATGTGTGTGTGGATATATACTTCGAAGTATGGCGTCTTTGAGTAGATATGTGTTTTTTTAATGAAGCAATTTTTCTTTTAGCAAAGAATCCCAGGGTTTCAAACCAAGGAAGAATGAGATAAATTTGTTGAAACTGTGAGTTGTCATCTCCATCAGAGAGAGAAAGAAAGAAAAAACCAAATTTCATTTTTTTTCTTCTGTCTATGGCTCATTACATCAAATGGTATTAACATTATCCTTGTCTGCATGATTTTCAACATAAATTCATAGAGAATAAAGAAACGCTGCATGAGAAATTGTTCGAGTTGATGCTTATTTAAAAGTTTTATTGGTGTTTATATTTGTTCCCCTCATTAATTCAGAAGTGGCTTGTCATCCGCTAGATAATAAATATACTGCAGCATGTCAGCAGTAAGGGCTATTTATGTTATGGTGATCTCAAAAGTAATTTGACACTGCTACACTTTACACTGTATTCAACTACAATAAATGCATTCTATTATTAAATCCCGACATTATCCATTCATTTTAATATTGAAGACTTCTACATAGCTTCAAATAGGCTTCACCCTTCTTTTCAAGAAATCTCCAACTCTTTATAGAGTATTTGTGTGCAGAATGAATTGTCTCACATGGTGATGTTCAGATTGCTTTCCCACAATAAATTGACCAAACTTTCCATTTTCACGGGAGAAAACAGAAACAAACAAATGGGAAAAAAACCCCACACAATAGAAACAGTAGCAATTAACTGATGCTATGAATAAACATATAAACATCACAACCTATTCTTCTCAAAACAAAGACTGTACAGCTCCACTCCTGCCATATTCTCTCTCCAACCGCTTGTCTCTCCCAACCCTAGAGCCAGTACCACACCGTAAGGCCAGGCTGCTCAACAGGGCATTGAGCATTGCCATGGTGGAACCCAAGGGCCAAGATGATCATGAAGGTGATGAGACACTATCTGTGGACTTGGTATGGGGAACTGCAAGGAAGTTTTGACATATTTACAGCTGAAAATCAGAAAGAATGACATCAGAAAGGAAATAAAGACTAGCCTTTTGCTGCCAATAGCTATGTTTCACGTTTTAAATTTCTCTGGTTCATTTGGGCAGATTTTAAGCCTGTTGACCAGTCCCAAAGACTTCACACGCTCTCATCACCAACCTCTTAATAAAATATTAACAAGTATCACAGACGGTTTTTCAGAGCAATCATTTAATATTTCGAATCATCAGAGGCCTTCACATCACTCCTTGTCACAACTGAGCCAAACTGTCTGCCCCTCTCTGTGGCAAGACCAGGCAGCTCTCTGAAAATCCAACATTTCCGTCTCACAGAGGTGGCTGCCAGGTAAACCTCCTGACCACAGCGACACACTCAAATCATGTTCACAGGAACAAGTAGCAAGTAAATTATTTGTAGTCTGAGAGATTCGTAAGATAGGTAACAAACGGCAGCAAGAAAGATTGTCATAACTCTTTTCTCAAAATATCAATGGCACACATCCATGTCTCCAGATGTGCACTCAGGCCCAATAGCACAAGGGAACAACCTATTTCTCACAGCACCTACCTCCTACATTTTGTGGTTTTTTTAATCCTATATCTCCAACTTTCAATTTCTTTACAGGTATTTATCTGAACTAAGACTAAGATGCCGTGTTAGAACGTTAGAATTTGGCCTCTGCAAACACCAACCCCAATCTTAATCCAGAGTTACATTAAACAACCATTAACAACATAACTTCCGAATTTTCCTAATCCTAATCCAAACCAGAACTAGAGAGACGTCACATGGTTGGAACTAGAAGTTCCACACCAGCTAAAGATACTTGCCCTCATGGAAGTCCTGCAGCTCATGCCATAGACACAGATAACGGATGTTTACTAAGTCTTTTCCCAAATGTAATCCTAATACCATCCCCACAATTCTATATAGAGATGGATCAGTTCAGACTGGACATTAGGAAAAAGTTCTTCACCATGAGGGTGGTGAGACACTGGAACAGGTTGCCCAGAGAGGTGGTGGAAGTCTCATCCCTGGAAGTTTTTAAGGCCAGGCTGGATGAGGCTCTGAGCAGCCTGATCTAGTGGGGGATGTCCCTGCCCATGGTGGGAGTGTTGGAACTAGATGATCTTTAAGGCCCTTTCCAACCCTGACAATTCTATGATTCTATGATTCAATGATTCTATATCAAAGAATGGAACCTGGAACAGAACTAATTCCAAAATGTATCTACTGACTCTCACTCAAGTGTGAGAGCAGGGTGCTAAAAACAAGAAGCAGAACTAATACTCAAGACTCACTAAAGCCACATGATATTGCCATTAACAGGTGGGTAGCTGAAATGAAACCAGAGGGAGAACCATTATAAATATGCTCCTTGGTTGTTCTTCTGCAAAGTGGGGCAGGAAGAGTGAATTGGATTATGGATATGTAAATCTTAACATTCATGGAATTACATATTAGTCCAACTAATAAAAAGTCTCCTCTCCAAAGAGGTAACATTCATATCTAACTAAACAATATCTACTTGAGTGACATTTAAACCCAAAACTTATTTTATCACAATGTCAAAGTCAACAGTCTTATCCTGCCTCCATTTCTCTCCATCACTGAAAACTCAAAATATGGTCAGAAAAAGAAGATGGACAGAGAGGTATTTTTTGATATTGTTACATGGCAGGACTATAATATGCACAATGTATTTCATACAAATTAGTCAGAATTTCCTAATGAGAAAAAAAAAATTCTTTAAAACTTGTTAAAATTTTCTCTAGTGCTGTTATTTGTTTTGAGGATTTTTTTTATGTTATTTGTTATTTGTTATTTGTTTTGAGGATATGTATTTCATACAAATTAGTCAGAATTTCCTAATGAGAAAAAAAAAATTCTTTAAAACTTGTTAAAATTTTCTCTAGTGCTGTTATTTGTTTCATCTTTGAGGATTTTTTGAGCAAAGTTATAACTGTATATAAGCAATATGCATTTAGATAATATAAAGTCCAGGACCTTTTTGGTATTGTATTAATTACTGCCGAAATTAGTTTACATAGAATATGACTTAAAGTCTTAAGTACTTGTGCAAAGCTATTGGTATTATCATAGGTGGGCAATGTGAGTCAAGAGATAAAGTGGATTTTGTTCGAGGGGTTTTTTTCTGTCTTTTGCTCCAAGAATTTCCATTGGAGAGTGCTGGAGTCAGCTTCTGACTAAACAGAGCAAAAGATCAACATTATTTGGCTTTCATGCTAATAAGTTAAGCAGCTAAGCACTTTAGGGAGATTAAAAAAAAGCTTTCTTTGTAGGGTTAAAGCCTGGGTTTTCCAAACAAGCTCAGATTTTTAGCCTAGCCAGAAATCACACCACAGTTAACATTATTAGGATTTTGTAAACTAAATATTTCAGCAACCAGAACATACCTAGTAAGTATAAATTACTATTTTATCCTGGAGTTAAGATACGTATATATGAAATAGCACAGTATATTGCTCAGTTTCAATTCTGCCATAAATACTTTGATCCCAACATAGCTCCAATGCAACAGGGTCAGTTGCTTCTCTTTTCAAAGAGATTGACTGAATTTCACACTTTCCATGCTATAACAGCCATACACTTTCCAAGAACTCAGGTTTGTCTTTGTACTGGTGCAGCTGCTATTCCACCATTGTGTTCCTGCAGAAACAGCAGCTGATGGTGACAAATGTTTGCTCAAGCCTCTGTTCTCAATATCTGCTGAATGGTTGTGGGAAAAAAAATCCCTTTGTCATTGACAGACTCTCAAAAACCTGAAAATGTGTTTAGAAAAGAACACAGAATTTTGCTAAGAGGGCTATAGAAAATGCAAAGACACTACAATAAAGTTCTTCACTGGTAAGTGATTGCTTTGTGTGGGTGATGCTGGTCTATTTTTGAAGTCTCAAGAAGATCCACTGGTGCATAAAACACAGAGATTATAATTTTAAAAACACATTTTAAATTATTAAGGAGTAAAGAATGACCCTCCAACTCAGAACCCGCATACTTTTTTTAAAGAAAGGATTACCATGGAGATAGTCCATAAATTTAAAAGAGCTCAGACACAGAAAGAAGCAGAAGCCTGGCAACACCTATGTTCTTGCTCTTCTCTGACCAGTTTTTCTTATTCCTCATCTTCAGCAGAATCTGCAGTCCACGTTATTTCCATGACTGATCTTACAAAATGATTAAGCTTAGCTCAGGTTTCCAGATCATTAGGTGATCTGTAGTTATCACTCTTCTTTTCTGTGCACATTTGCACTATTAATGATATATAGAAGAAAAACTGATCATCCAGCAAATTACAGCCTATCTTCAGTGTTACACAACGTATTTATAACTATTATTCTACTGTTATTTGTTCCTCTTACACCAGGCAACTAATCCCCATTTTCTCACCATTTAGAGCTGAATTTCATTTCTGAAGTTTGACACAGTGGATCCCATACTAGGAGAAAGGTAATCACAGTAAACTGCCATTTGGGAACGTACCATTTAGTGGAGGACTGCAACTCCAAAATTGTTACCCTAATATATGAAAGAGGCAATTTCTGCTGTATAGTGTCACAAAATAAAAGAGCAGTCGTTAATGCATGAAATATGGCCTAAGCAACAGAAGAGGGCAGCTGCTTGGTACTCTCAGGTATGGAAAAGCATAAAAATTATTTTACAGGTCAGACTAATTGTCCATATAATATACCAATCTCTCTCCAACACCTCAAAAGAAGATGCGTAGGGAAGATACATAACAAGGGCGCAGTGACACTCTTCCAGAACCCTCTTCTAATCTCTAACAAACTGCATTTCAATGAATTCCTGATGAGGTCTCTTTAAATTTTATAGCCTTGATGGATTTTTCTTATTGATGTATTGCCTTACTGCTTGTGAAATTCTGATGTGGTATTTGCTGTTTCAAGAAGCATAAAGGTTCAACTTTTCTCATAGCTGCTTTTCTTTTGCCATTTTTTTTTGTTCGCTGTTGCTTGCTGGTGCTTTGAGAATTGTAAAATACCATGATGCATGTGAACAGCTTGCTAACAAATGAGAATAGTACTGAATAATATCCAGGCAAGCATACAACATTAAGATATGTTTGCTTAATCAAAACAGAAAGAGGGAAAGGCAGTTTTTCTACACAGCCTAAATGACAAATGTGAACATTATGCTATGAAAGATGATCATAACAACCTTTCTGCAAATTACAGAATCTAATTGTACATAATTGTCCAGATAATGTAGAAATGCTCTAGAGAGATTCACAAAATAACCAAGATTATGATTCCTCTTAGAATGAGGCCACAGACTTCTACATTAGTCCTTGGCCATTTGGTTAAGACCAGAAAGTACTTTACAAGGAGCGTGGGGTTGCACATTCCAGTGCACCACAATGCATAGACCATTACTCACCCTTTTCTTTGCAATATCCAGCAAGTTTGGTCTACTGAAAGCAGGCACCCTTGCAAAATTTAACACAATAGTAGGTGGATATCACTCTGCATAAGTATGATTCTAAGAGGTCCAGCAGTAAAGCTCAGCTGGACAGTAGGACTTTAAGGAGACTGAAGGATGAGCTTTGAAGTTCACAGGGTCTCATTTGACTGGTGAGAAGGAAAGGGACACTAACAGCTATGACAGGGACCTCACATGCTTGTCTTTTAGGACCCTCCCAGGGTTTAATGATATGGGGCTCTCCCACATGGTAAAGTGGCTCATCAGACTCTATGCATGTATTCTGAAAGGTGCTTATCCTCAGTGCATGTGGAAGTGTGGCAAAGCTTCAGAGAACTGCCATGTACTTCAAAAATATAAACAAGATGTTAGACTGGTTTTTTTTTCCAGTCTACTCTGTATGACTAACTCATATAACAGGAAGGAGGAATCCAGGTAGAGATGCTGG